TGAATGACTTTTGAAAAAAAAAATGTTTATTGTTTAAAGTATTACATATGTCTCTTTTCCCCCCCAGCCGTTCCTACCCCTCAACATATGCCCTCACCCGCCCCCCCCCCCCCCAGTATCTGTGTCCATTGGTTATGCTCATTTGATGCATACAAGTCCTTTGGTTGATCTCTCCCCCTTACCCCCGCCCTCCCCTACCTTCCCTCTGAGGTTTAATGGTCTGATTGATGCTTCTGTGTCTCTGGATCTGTTTTTGTTTATCAGTTTATGTTGTTCATATATTCCACAAATGAGTGAGATCATGTGATACTTATCTTTCTCTGACTGGCTTATTTCACTTGGCATAATACTCTCCAGGTCCATCCATACTGTTGCAAATGGTAAAAGTTCCCTTTTTTACAGCAGCGTAGTATTCCATTGTGTAGATGTGCCACAGTTTTCTAACCCACTCATCTGCTGATGGGCACTGAGGCTGTTTCCAAATCTTAGCTATGGTGAATTGTGCTGCTATGAACATAGGGGTGCATATGTCCTTCCTGATTGGTGTTTCTGAGGTTGGATGGCTCTTGCTTATGCTCTCTTGTGGAATGCTATGCTCATCAGAGGAAGCAGTGTTAGAAGGGAATGTGTGTGATCAGTGGCTGTTCGGGCCCAGTTCTTAGGAAGGTTTAGTTATGTGCAGCATGGGTCTCTCCTGCACCCTGCCTCCTCAGGGTGCCCAGGGCCATGCTGTTTGCCACAGAACCAAACATGGATTTAATTGGGGTTCTTTCTGTTGCTGTTTTTTGTAGATATTTTTGTAGCTATTTTGCAGTCGTCTTTAATTTCTAGGAAAGTCTAAATCCTCTGGAATCCAGAACTGTTGCCTTGTTACTAAGTCTTTCCGGAACCCAGCGTTTAAAGTGGGTGATGGGATCAAGAGGAGAGCGGGGAAGGCCTCAGCTTCAGCACCTCTTGCAGCCATGCGTTCCCAGCGCTGTCTCGCTTTGGCTTCCCTTAACAGTTTTCAGGGCTCTTATATCCGACATTGGGAGTTCTGGGTTAGGAGAGAGGGAGAGGGTTCTTCAGCTCTGTGAGGCTTTTGAATGTGGCTAACCCATCTGGGTTATGTGAGCAAGAGGTACTTATTATTTTAAGCATGTTTCAATAAGTCAACTGGTAATGTTTAAAGTGAAAAGAAAGTTCTTGGGTGGAAATACCGTCTTTTTGGACTGCCTACTCTTTCCTTATTTAATTACACGACCATAGGGAACGAGTTACTGGTTTGCCATTTGGGAAAGTAGAGCACTTGCAAAGTTTAAACGTTGGCAGCGTCAGTTCCGTTCCTGCTGGGCAGCTCGGTAATACTCCGCCTTGGAGCACATTGCAATTAGGATCAGAGTTACGTTACATTTAGTGAAAGTGAACTATAGAAAGTGTACTCACTGTGGTTGCTGATAATAAACGTAGCAATATGGATCTCTTATATTTCCTTTATAGATTACAAATTTTTTCTTTAAATTCTCACCTAGGGATAGGTTTTCATTGACTTTAGAGAGAGAGGGAGAGAGAGGAACATTGATGTGAGAGAGAAAACATCCACCAGTTGTCTCCCACATGTGCCCAACCGGGGATCAAACCCGCAACTGTTTGGTGTACGGGACCACAGTCGTCTTTTATTGCCTCGCCTGTTGGCTATCGTGAATGTAGTTGATAGGACTGTTTCTCATGGCAGCACTTGGAGCATGAAATTCATGCACTTAGCACTGCAGTCCCCTGGTAAGTGTTGGGAAGTCCGCAGATGTCTTCGAAATGCACACATTAGCAGGCTCTTCCATGAGGATAGGATAATGCGGGAGAAGAATGAACGAAAGCAGAAATTTTAAGGGTCTGAAAATGAGCATCATCTTACTTTAACAGTAGCTGAAAGAATAGCAAGTTTTGTACTGCAGCTGGTTTATTTGATTCTTTTAAATATTTATAGTTTTAAATTATAACTATTATGGTAGGAAGTCCATTGTACCTGATCTTAGGCAAGTCATTTGGTCCCTCAAAACTTCAGTAATTAGGACTACATAAATTACGTAACTTACCTAATTCATTTTATTTACTCGGACAGCACTCCAATAATGAAATTAAGATATGGAAGTAGTGAGTGGCGTGACTAATATCACTGAACCTGCGTGTGCTAGAGCTGAGACCGCAGATAGGTCTTCACTCTCAGGGTGTCACGTGGGACTGCCCCCGGAAAATTCTAACATACTGCCGTTTTTGTGTTGTGTGTGTGTGTTTTTACTGCATCTGAGGCAGTTTATCATGGCCTATTTTATTTGTCTGCTTTTTTCTCAAAGTACATGTTAGAATTACTATTTTAATGTTTTTTTAAAAAAATATATTTTTATTGCCCTAGCCGGTTTGGCTCAGTGAATGGAGCATCGGCCTGCGGACTGAAGGGTCCCAGGTTCGATTCCGGTCAAGGGCATGTGCCTGGGTTGCAGGCACATCCCCAGTGGGAGGTGTGCAGGGGGCAGCTGATGTTTCTCTCTCATCGATGTTTCTAACTCTCTATCCCTCTCCCTCTCTAAAAAAAATCAATAAAATATATATTTTTAAAAAAATGTTTTTATTAATTTCAGGGAGGAAGGAAGAGGGAGAGAGAGTTAGAAACATCACTGATAAGAGAAAATCATTGATTGGCTGCCTCCCGAACGCTCCCCACTGGGGATTGAGCCCACAACCTGGGCACACGCCCTCGACTGGAATCGAACCTGGGACCCTTGAGTCTGCAGGTTGATGCTCTATCCACTGAGCAAAACCGGCTAGGACTTAAATGTCTTTTTTAAAAGTACTTTTTTAAAAATATATTTTTATTGATTTTTTTTTTAGAGGGAGAGGAGAGAGAAACATTGATGTGAGAGATTGAAACATTGATTGACTGCCTCCTGCATACCCGATACCCGGAATAAAGCCTGTAACCCTGGCATGTGCCCTGACAAGGAATCGAACCGGCAACCTTTCAGGGCATGAGATGATGCCCAACCAACTGAGCCACACTGGGCGGAGGCCCAAAAGTACATTTTAAAAATTAACAATATGGGGCTTCCATAATTGTGAAAATATTTTTGGATTATTTAATTGTTTTTTGAGTTTGGACTTTTTTTTAAAAATAATGTTGTATCTTACAAGGGTAACTCTTAAAATCATTCAAGAAATGCATTTGGGATGAAGCCCCATATGTCCTAGATTGCCCTAACTTGTTTTAAGATGAAGACAGAGGGTTTTTTCTTATTCACAAATGATGTCCAAATAGAGTTTACTTTAAATTTTATTTAATGATTAAAGAAGAGATTGTGTAAAAAGTACTTTAGCATGCCTTAAATTTAGGTTTAATTCTTAGAATTATAATACAGTGGGGCCTTGACTTACGAGTTTAATTCGTTCGTGACGGAGCTCGTAACTCAAATTACTCTTATGTCAAATCGACAGTGAACGAGTGAGACACGTGATGCTGGGCTGATGTTGTGGCGTTCACTGTGACGTTCGCTGCGCCAACTAGCGGTGGGGTATCTGAAGCTGGCTCGTAACCCGAATTTTAGCTTGCAACTCAAAGCAAAAAATCGGCCGAGAGACGGCTTGTATCTCGAAAAACTCGTTAGTTGGGACACTCGTAAGTTAAGGCCCCACTGTACTGTACAAAGAAATCTCTTTGAAGAGGATAATTATCGTTTTTTCTTAAATACTTCAAGAATTTTAACAGTCTAAGAGCAGAACCTTTTTAGATTCTAATGTGAATGATCTCTCTGTTGCATTTTATCTCAAGTCTTGACCCCAAACATTTGCTCTTTAAAAGCATTTAAATTTAAGAACTGAACCTGCTAATTTGTCCAAAAGGTTGCGTGTATCTTTTCATCTGTTCCTGGTTAATCAGCGGTAAACGGACTAGCACCTGACTCAGGCTTTAAGCTCCCTGGGCAACAGCGTCAGAAAATCCACAGGTGTTGTCCACATCCACGTGGTCTTCACTCCTGAGAGGAAAGTTTGGGGCTTTCATTGTTGGAACTTAGTTTGGGGCTTATCAGTAGACATTGGAGGTTCAAGAATATCTGCCTTTCATTCCTTATTTTGTTCTTGTTTTGTGTGGATTTTGTTTCTGGAATTTGAAATTCTTTCGCATCTCTCTCTAGAAGGAGCTCTTACTCTCGGACTCAGTGAATTTCTATTCATCAGTTTGTCTAAATAGACCATCCTTTGTGAGAACTTGCTCAAAATAGGTTCAATCCTTGGTATTTATTTTTTAAAGGGCAGGTTAAAAATGAGAAGTAAGGACAAGTTTTTGCCCCAAGTAGAACTGAAAGTAAGATGCTTTCCTGCCTTCTTTTTGAGTGAATTTCACCGCCCTGTGGTCAATTCATGATCGCTCTCATAGATGCTGCTGCCCACCATTACGTCTCTCATCACAGGACATTTTAAAATGATGCTACAAAATGCATGTTGAGAATCATTGGATCTCAAATGAACAGAAATCACATCTAGATGTCTGTTCCTGAGTTAAGGAACTGACGATCATGGCCACTTCAGTCTCTATTAATATTGAGTAAACCAGAGATTATGATATTGTTTATGTTACTCTTTATATGTTTGTAGATTTAACTACCTGTTGAAGAGATTTGTTTTATTGACTTTGTGCTGATTTGATGACTCGAATTAAAGTCGATCTTTAATTGCTTTGGGCTGCATCTCTAGATTGAAATGTAGGATTGTCTCTTGGGTCCTGGGCATCAGAGATGCTGTGTCCATGCATTGCTCAGTGACACGCAGCTCCCACTGGTCTGTGATGAAGCTGTAATGCCTGGGTCCATTCATTTCAACAACAGTTATTTTAAATATCCATGTGAATGATGATGATTAATATATAAAAGCTAATTTTCAAAATTATCTTTGTCTCCTCTGGGCATTTCTTTAGGGTTTGTTCATGTTCATGTTTTGGTTTCTGACTTTAAAATGATTTTCCTTTGTTGTAGGATGAGCAGTTCTTAGGTTTTGGCTCAGATGAAGAAGTCAGAGTACGAAGTCCCACCAGGTCTCCTTCAGGTACGGCTGAGCATGCGCATGGCGCCTTTACGTTTTGTTTGTGAAGAGACTGTGGCTTCCCCTTTCCTTCTTTGCATGGAAAGGATGGTCTTAAATACGAGGGGTTTTGGGGTACACCCTTCCTTTTCCCTCACACTAAGTAACACAAGGCTTATGGAACAGACCTCTTTCTGGGACTTCTCCACCAGGCGTCTCTGGGAACCCACGAGGCCTGGGAGGTCGCTTTCCATGGCGTGAGGGAACCTGGTACAGCACCTCAGATTTATATATTTGGAATGATATGGTAGTATACAGGGTAGGTTTACAGTTGTGAGTACATGAAACAGTTTATTCTTATATTATTCTTTGGTAATAATTATATTATTTTCCATATGAACACTGTAAACCTACTTTTGCCCCACCCTATCTATGACTTTGGGAATAACTTGGCCATTGTTTTTTACAGATGAAGTTTGGTCTATTATTGTCAAAGAACTAACAACAAAATATTAGCACTGTGTGAATGTGAATGTTTTGCCTGATTCTTGAAAGGCTGTATTAAAATAAAACAAAAATGATATGGTATATCTCCAATATTTTTGTCATTGTTTTCACCAAGAAAATATCTAGACTGTCTTCAGGTTCTAGACTTACAGTAGTTTTCTGATAGACAGTTATTAGTGGAAATAACATTTAATGCCTTGCAGAATGCCATTCTAATAGGAGACGGCTATAGATCTTTTTTTTTAATCCTCACCTGAGGATATTTTTTCCATTGCTTTTTAGAGAGGGAGGGAAGGAGGAAGGAGAAGGAGAGAGAGAGAAACATCAATGTGAGAGAGACACATCATTACTGGTTGCCTCCCGCATGTGGGGAGCAAACCCACAACCGAGGTGTATGCCCTTGACCGGGAAGCGAACCCTTGACCCTTTGGTGTGCAGAGCAACATCAGGCAGGGTGGCTATCGATCTTTTGCTGGAGAAAACATTCCCTGTCTGTCTCTGCTGCTATTCTGAATTCTTGCATGATTCTCTGACTTCATGTGGATAGACAATGGGCGGTGTTTTTGCTCTTTGACATTGACTCAGTTTGTGAGGTTTGTTAGCAGTTGGGTTACTTAAGAGTCATGTGCTCTACAGTAATCTGATTCAGACACATAAGTGGACAATTTTTCCTTTCCCAGGTGGGGGTGGTGTTGCTATTATAGTTGGGGGGATCAGCCAGTAAGAACCCAGTGTCTGTGCCATTCAGACAGTGGCATTGTTCTCATTAATATGTGGTGAAATCTTAAACCTTCATATCATAAAGTGATTTTTTATTTTATTTTAAAAAATACTTTTATTGATTTTAGAAGAGGGGAGAGGCAGAGAGCTAGAAACATCAATGGTGAGAAAGAATCATTGATTGGCTGCCTTCTGCATGCCCCCTGCTGGGGTTCAAGCCTGCAACCCAGGCATGTGCCCTTGAATTGAACCCGGGACCCTTTAGTCCGCAGGCCGACTAGGGGTCATAAAGTGATTTTACAGATCATGTGGCCTAGCCCTTCATTAGTAAATGACAAAGTGAGGCCCAGAAGATACGTGAGCAGTTATTGCAGGTGGTTTGTGAGTTCTGTGAATGTGGGTGTGGGAGCTGGCGGCGGAGCAAGGCTCTGCCTTTTCTACTTCACCAAAAGCTTCTTTTAAAAGTTGGGTAGAAGAGGCTTCAGAGTTAACCCAGACCTGTGGTGGCCAGGTTCAAGTCCAGCAGGTGGATCAGGAATCTGGGGAGGTCCTTCTCTGGTAGGAGTTCACTTTTTAATAGTTTCCTTGGAAGTGTTCTTGGCGACCGATGTGCTTGGAATGTTGTCTTGGTTGTTTAAAACCATATGGATATTCTTCATTCTTGTTGTCATTGGTATGTATATTGAGAATGGATTTGTGAATCCTGCATCTATTAAGGGAAACCTCTCTATTTCAAAAGCTCAACAGTAAGCTCTTTGTTGATTTCTGTTCTGATAGAAAGTTGGTTCCATGGTCTAAAACGTTCATCACCATGGCATACATCTCTTTGGGTGCCTATTAGGAGAGGTGTTAGTCTCAGAAGAATGTTGAGTCATATAAAACATTAAAAATTCATGTGGGAAGAGAAGATATGATAGACTAGGGAACTCAAGACATTTAGAAAATACAGGTTTATACAAAGAATTTTAGGAAAAGAATTTTGTTTTCTTGAGTCTCTTGATAAATAGCAGATTGAGCTGATTTATAAATTGGCAAATTCCTTTTATTTAGAAGAAATCTGATTCAATAAATTGTTAATTTGCTCTTAAATCAATTAAGGTTAAATTTTTTTTTTTTTTTTTTGTAATTTGAGACTAATTAGTTCAAGAACATGTATGTGGGGGATTCATTAATGGGCACATCACCAGGTCACTTCTATGAGTAGTTTACATGCTGCTGAGTTCAGTGAGCATTCTCTGTTTACTATGGCAAAACCAACTGACAATGCAGCTGGATCTTCCCGGGGCCTTTTCCTGTAGAAGTTGGTGTGCCACTGATAGAAGAGCACTCTGTCCAAATTTATTAAAGCCATAGTTCTGCATTGAAAAGATGAGTTGCTATGAACATGTTCTCAAGTATTAATCTTGATGGTGAAGATATGGAAAAAGGTAGCACAGATTTCTTTTTAACCATTTTTTGTATTCAGAATTTAAACCTTGCTTACCTAAAGTAGTAAAATCAGTTTTGGGTGTTATAAATTGCTCAGTTGAAAACCTTTTATTATGTTAGGGTTTTTTTAAATCAAAAAAGTACTTAATGTTCTTTTAAGTGGAATGTCATTTAGCTGATTTTTTGAAGCAAGTTTTGGGGGGAAAGAGACTAAGCACAATTAAAATGTGATATTGACTCATTAGGCGCAACTAGAGTTCGGTACCAGGCGGCTTGTGCTAAATTATATTCAGCGTCCTGAGCCTGAACGGCAACGCTAAACCGCTCTCCATTGTCTGATTCCCACACGCAGCTAAGAGTAGCCCTCGGAAACCCCGCGGCCGGCCTCGCAGCGGCTCCGACCGGACCCCGCTCCTCCCAGACCCGCCCGCGTTCCCCCCGCTCAGTAAACCAGAGACCAGACCTGGGGATAAGATCAAGAAGAAAGACTCTAAAAGCTTAGAAAAGAAGCGAGGAAGACCTCCCACCTTCCCTGGAGTAAAAATCAAAATCACGCATGGAAAGGACATTGCCGAATTACCGAAGGGCAGCAAAGACGACAGCCTGAAAAAGCTCAAACGGACCCCGTCCGCCACGTTTCAGCAAGCCACCAAGATCAAAAAGTTAAGAGCGGGCAAGCTCTCCCCCCTCAAGTCCAAGTTTAAGGCCGGGAAGCTGCAGATCGGAAGGAAGGGGGTGCAGATCGTCCGGCGGCGCGGGAGGCCGCCCTCCGCCGAGAGGGTCAAGGCCCCGGCCGGCCTCCTCCTCAACTCGCACCTGGACAAGCCCCAGAAGGTGCGCAGGGACGCGGACGCGGCCCCGGCCCTCGCCAAGGAAGACAAGGCGGTGGTCAGACAGAGCCCGCGGCGGGTGAAGCCCGTCAGGATCATCCCTTCCTCCAAAAGGACGGACGCCACCATCGCCAAGCAGCTCCTGCAGCGGGCGAAGAAGGGGGCGCAGAAGAAGATCGAGAAGGAGGCGGCCCAGCTGCAGGGCCGGAAGGTGAAGACGCAGGTCAAGAACATCCGGCAGTTCATCATGCCCGTGGTCAGCGCCATCTCCTCGCGGATCATCAAAACCCCCCGCCGCTTCATCGAGGACGAGGACTACGACCCGCCCATCAAGATCGCGCGCCTGGAGCCCGCGCCCAGCAGCCGCTTCGGCGCCGCCTCCTGCGGGTCCTCCGAGAAGTCGAGCGCCGCCTCGCAGCACTCCTCGCAGCTGTCCTCCGACTCGTCGCGCTCCAGCAGCCCCAGCGTGGACACCTCCACCGACTCCCAGGCCTCCGAGGAGATCCAGGGGCTCCCCGAGGAGCAGAGCGACGCCCCCGAAGCGCACGCCCCGCTGCCCGTTGCCCAGTCCCCGGAAAGCGACCGGAACGACCGGAGAGGCAGGAGGTACTCGTCCGAGAGGAGTTTTGGGTCGAGGACGACGACGAAGAAGCTGTCCGCGCTGCCCAGCGCGCCCCCGCCGCCGGCCTCCGCCTCGCCGCCCCCGCCGCTGCTGTCGCCGCCGCCGCCCCTGCAGCCGGCCGCCGGCCTCTCGGACCCCACGCCCTGGCTGCTGCCCCCCACCATCCCGCTGGCGTCGCCCTTCCTGCCCGCGCCCGCCGCGCCCATGCCGGGCAAGCGCAAGTCCATCCTGCGGGAGCCCACGTTCCGCTGGACGTCGCTGAAGCACTCGCGCGCCGAGCCGCAGTTCTTCTCCTCCGCCAAGTACGCCAAGGAGGGGCTCATCCGCAAGCCCGTCTTCGACAACTTCCGGCCGCCGCCGCTCACGCCCGAGGACGTGGGCTTCGCCTCGGGCTTCGCGGCGCCGGGCGCGGCCGCGCGGCTCTTCTCGCCGCTGCACGCGGGGCCCCGGTTCGACGTGCACAAGAGGAGCCCGCTGCTGCGGGCGCCGCGCTTCACGCCCAGCGAGGCGCACTCCCGCATCTTCGAGTCCGTCACCCTGCCCGGCGGCCGGGCCCCCGCGGCCGCGCCCGGCGCGTCCAGCCGCAAGAGGAAGAGGAGGGTGTTCAGCCCGCTGCGCGCCGAGCCCCGGTCGCCCTCGCACTCCATGAGGACGCGCAGCGGCCGGCTGAGCGCCGCCGAGCTGTCGCCGCTCACGCCGCCGCCCTCCGTGGCCTCCTCCCTGAGCCTCTCCGTGAGCCCTCACGCCGCCAGTGCCTTAAACCCCGCCTTCACCTTCCCCGCGCACCCGCTGGCCCCCGGGGAGGCCGCCGAGAAGACCCCGAGGCCGCGGAAGCCGCCCGGCGCCCCCGCGGAGCCCTTCGCCGCCGGCAGCCCGACGACGCCGCTCTTCCCCTGGTTCACCCCCGGCGCGCAGCCCGACCGGGGCCGGACCAGGGACCGGGCTCCCGAGGAGCCGGCCCGGGAGCGGGACGCCGACAAGAGCGCGGAGAAGGACAAGAGCCGAGAGCGGGACCGCGAGCGGGAGAAGGAGAACAAGCGGGAGTCCCGCAAAGAGAAGCGGAAGAAGGGGTCCGAGCCCCCGGGCAGCTCCGCCTTGTACCCCGCGGGCAGGGTTTCCAAAGAGAAGGCGGGCGCGGAGGAGGGGGCCGCGCCGTCCTCTGCCAAGAAGGTCACGGGGCGGAAGAAGTCTTCGTCCCTCGATTCTGGGCCCGAGGTGGCTGCCGTGACCCTTGGGGACTCAACCGCTGTCAAAACCAAAATACTGATCAAGAAAGGGCGAGGGAGCCTGGACAAGGCCGCCCTGGACCTCGGCCCCGCCGCCGCGCTCGAGAAGGAGAAGGCGCCCTGCCCGCCCGCGCCCCGCGCCCGGCGTGAAGCATGCCGCGTCCTCCATCGGCTCCATGCTGGCGCAGGCGGACAAGCTCCCCATGACCGACAAGAGGGTCGCCAGCCTCCTCAAAAAGGCCAAGGCCCAGCTCTGCAAGATCGAGAAGAGCAAGAGTCTGAAACAAACCGACCAGCCCAGAGCACAGGTACTCTTTTCCGTGTTGCCTGGTGACCTCCGTCGTGTCCAGCCCTGCTAGGAGCGAGCTTCAGGCTGAGGGTCCCGGTCTGTCCAGTCGCGGGAGCCAGGGAAAGGCAGGGGAAGGGGTGACATCTGCAGTGACCCCGTAAGGACAGGTGGGGTTCTGATAGGTAGACAGCGATGGGGAGAGCGTCGCAAGGAGAGGAGCAGGGGAGGTAGGGACACACTTGAGGGGCGGTGGGTAGCGAGGCTGTACAGGCAGGAGAGCGGTGAGCTGAGGCCCGCAGGTAGGTTGGGGCCACGGGACAGAGAATGCGAGTTTGTACTTAATGGATTTGGTGGATTAGAACCTGTGGCAGTTTCGAAGGTGCATTTCTGTAGTCAAGTTGTTTCACTGTTGTTTACTGTAGAAAACGGGATGGGGAGGAGTCTCATCCTCTAAGGCAGTGGTTCTCAACCTTCCTAATGCCGCGACCCTTTAATCCAGTTCCTCATGTTGTGGTGACCCCCAATTTCATTGTTACAAATTGAACATAATTAAAGCATAGTGATTAATCACAAAAACAATATGTAATTATATATGTGTTTTCCGATGGTCTCAGGCGACCCCTGTGAAAGGGTCGTTCGACCAAAGGGGTCGCGACCCACAGGTTGAGAACCGCTGCTCTAAGGGGTACGGTGCTTAGAGCAATAAATAAATACATGAATAGAGGGTGTGTGCAGAATACACCTGAGAAGCCTTTGGCCTTAGGCTGTGGGACAGAAAAGCTGTCGAATTGAGTTTACTAAGATGAAGACAAACATATTTTTACAAAGAACAGCATTGTGGGGTTTGGGGTTTTTTTTTTCTTTTTACACAGTAAACTAGGCACTGGTCGTTTCTGAGAAAGCATACCGATCTTTAGGTTCTTTTTAAAAAATTGTCATGTAGTAGATGCATATTTATGCCAACATCTCAAGTTAGGTTGCAGTGAACACAGACCTAGGTTTTTAATGTTACTCAACCTGGGGCATATTCTACGAATTCTGCCAGTTGAGAGTTCAAGCAGGGACTTCCTTTGACACCATTGTGGGTGTTTTTTGGTTAGCCTCTGAGTGACAAGAGCAGTGGCTCTTTAAGATGGGAGACATTTCCGTTTGGAGTCTTTTATACTTCATTCATAGGTTATTTCCTCCTACTTCCCTATTGATCAGGGAAATACAGGAAATTGTGGTTAGGCTGAACTTCTTGATAATATACCGGCAACTTGAATTTTGAGGGGAATATTCAAGAAGTAGTATAATTGGGAATAGGAACTTAGTTGATTTCTGTCTTTTTCCTGCCAATGTTAGGATGCAGAGGTAGTTGATTCCTGCAAATTGATATGGCTTATCAGCTGGAAATAACTAGAGTGAGTCCAGATTATAATAAGTTAGCCCAAAATACCCTGGCTTCATTTAGTTATATTGTCAACATGTGTGATTGTTTTGGCTCACCTCCTATTTAGGGTCAAGAAAGTGATTCATCAGAGACCTCTGTGCGAGGACCCCGGATTAAACACGTCTGCAGAAGAGCGGCTGTTGCCCTTGGCCGGAAACGCGCTGTGTTTCCTGATGACATGCCCACCCTGAGTGCCTTACCGTGGGAAGAACGAGAAAAGATCTTGTCTTCCATGGGGAATGATGGTAGGTCCAGATGTCAGCCTTGAAGTCCTAGCACCCAGGTGATCTGCTGCTCATCATTCTTGGGGTGCCTTGTAGGCTGGCGATAGCATCATGTATTCGTCTGGATCCTCTAAAAACAGATGGCAAGGGGTGGGGGTTCAATGAACAAGGATTCTATGAGGAACTGTCTGTGAGGCACAATGGGGAGGGAGCCAGGGAAGGCTGGGAGAGCTGTCAGTCAATGAAGGAGGGAGGGAATCTTTGGGCACAACCTTCCTAGGCGGCCATGCGGTGTAAAAAGGTTTGGCAAGACAGTCCTTGAGCAAAAGCTCACCACTAGAGGAATGTGTCCCAGGAACAGGTCTGTCTTAGCATTCCTGCCATGCTCACTGCCTGGGAGGCCTCCCGTGGTGAGGGACTCGGTGCCATGGATTTCAGGGCTCAGCAGCTGGGGCCCGGGGTCAGTCATGTGTTTGGGGGTTAGTGAGGCTCATTCTCATGGTCGCGCTATAGCTCTTAGATCAGGGGTCCTCAAACTACGGCCCGCGGACCACATGCAAATACAAATATTGTATTTGTTCCCGTTTTGTTTTTTTACTTCAAAATAAGATATGTGCAGTGTGCATAGGAATTTGTTCATAGTTTTTTTTTAAACTATAGTCCGGCCCTCCAACGGTCTGAGGGACAGTGAACTGGCCCCCTGTTTAAAAAGTTTGAGGACCCCTGTCTTAGATGATGGGTAACTGTTCATTAAAATGTAGAGGTGTAGGCAGTCCTCTGAAGCAGTCAGTTCATTTTCTTGAACTTCGGGTTAGACCAGGGGTGGGCAAACTTTTTGACTCGAGGGCCACAATGGGTTCTTAAACTGGACCGGAGGGCCGGAACAAAAGCATGGATGGAGTGTTTGTGTGAACTAATATAAATTCAAAGTAAACATCATTACATAAAAGGGTACGGTCTTTTTTTTTTTTTTTTTTTTAGTTTTATTCATTTCAAACGGGCCGGATTCGGCCCGCGGGCCGTAGTTTGCCCATGGCTGGGTTAGACTATGTTTTGTTTTCAGTATTTGGATTTCTGCTTTCTTTAAGCTACAAGTTTATAGGCATTTAATAACATTTAAATAATTGTTTAAACAGGCTTTGAGTTCTGCATATGATGCTTTTTAATGTATTCCATTTCACTTTTGGAGTCCCAATGAAAACAAAGTTTGAATGTATCTAATGATATAAATTGATTTTGAAGATCTCCACCTCTGCTCCCAAGAAGGAATCAGATCCTCCCTCAGAACTAACGATGCGTTTCTTTAACAGACAAGTCCTCAATCGCTGGCTCAGAAGATGCCGAACCTCTGGCTCCGCCCATCAAACCAATCAAACCCGTCACCAGAAACAAGGCGCCCCAGGAGCCCCCCGTGAAGAAGGGACGGCGCTCCAGGCGGTGTGGGCAGTGTCCCGGCTGCCAGGTGCCCGAGGACTGTGGTGTCTGTACTAACTGCTTGGACAAGCCCAAGTTCGGTGGCCGCAACATAAAGAAGCAATGCTGCAAGTGAGTGGGCTCTGCTCGGAGGGTCGGCCTCCCCTCCGTGAAGGGGTTTGCTTGTGCTCGATTTGTTGCAAAGATGAATCCAAAAACTGAACGTGGTTGTACTCAGTTCTTGGGTTTCAAGGTTAGCTGCACAGTTGGATTGGGCAGTGTGGCTAGGTGTGAGTTGTGCTTTATTTTTATTTTTAAAAATATATTTTTATTGATTTCAGAGAGGAAGGAAAAGGGAGAGAGCTAGAAACATCAACGATGAGAGAGAATCATTGATCGGCTGCCTACTGCACACCACACACTGGGGATCAAGCCCGCAACCTGGGCATGTGCTCTGACCGGAATGGAACCTGGGACCCTTCAGCCCGCAGACCGACGCTCTATTCACTGAGCCACACCGGCCAGGCCGAGCTGAGCTTTAAATAAGAAGCTCTCTGGGCAGGCTGACTAGTAGAATGCTCTGCAGCGCTGGGAGTGCTCTGAGCTGCTCAGTGCACTGTGCTGGCCGTTAGCCCCATTGGCTGTGGAGCGACTGAAATGTGAATGACCGAGGAACTACATTTTTTATCAAATTTTATTTTAATTAATTTACATAGCCACGTGTGCTTCGGGGCTACCATCTCAGTGCAGCTCGAGGGGCTTTCTACTTGAAAACTGACAAATTTAGGCATATTTATCAGGTTAACCAAAATTCCCTTTATCTTTATGGCTTTCGGGAAGTGTTGGTGTTATCTGCCTATGTCTCTTTGCTGTCTCTCGGGATAGTTTCACGCCTGTGGGATTTGTGATATGGACGTTGTGATGATCTTTTCTCCCTTTCTCGGTCAGTCTGTGGGTGCACTTTCACCCTCTGGGCAGTTGGTCTAAAGTGGATCAGAAGAGTTGCACAGACAGACTTTTTGGGAATTGAGCATCTCAAAGTACCTGGAATCAGGAGTAGATTTTATCAGTAGACATTTTCTGAATGAATAACGTGGAAATGACTTCTGTAAAACCGATGGGAGCAGTGCTGCGTTCCTCACTTCCAGGGAGGCAGTTTCCAGGAGACAGCAGGTAGTTCTGTGCTTTGGTTTAGTCAGTCTGGCTGTAAGCAAGAATCTTGTCTGTCTCATTCATGTAAAGGAGCGAGAATTCACAGATCAGCAAAAAGGTAAAATTATACCAAATTTTGGGGGTGAAATGGACTCAGTTACATTTTATACTTCAGATTAATTTTGAATTTCATTAAGTTGAGGGGTAGAATGTGTGTGTGTGTGTTTGTGTGTGTATGCGCATATATATATATATATATATATATATATATATATGAAAAATAATAAAAGGGTATATATATATATATATATATATCCTTCCAGACAAAGCCAGGGCTAATTAGACCAGACATCCTTCCAGACAAAGCCAGGGCTGTGAGGGAAGCCTGGGTCCCAGGTGCCAGAGGGAAGCCGGTGCTGGCAGCCAGGGGAAGGAAGACCTACTCTTGCATGAATTTAGTGCATTGGGCTTCTAGTGTGTGTGTGTGTGTGTGTGTATGTATGTGTATATATATATATATATATATATATATCAAAGCCCTGATATAGACCTATAGCATTGTGGTGGCAGAGAGGACTTGCTGGATAACTTTAGTCCATTTTGTAATCAGGTTATTCTAAATGAATATTAATCTCATAAGGTAGTGGTTCTCAACCTTCTGGCCCTTTGAATATAGTTCCTCATGTTGTGACCCAACCATAAAATTATTTTCGTTGCTACTTCATAACTGTAATGTTGCTACTGTTATGAATCATAATGTAAATATCTGATATGCAGGATGGTCTTAGGCGACCCCTGTGAAAGGGTGGTTTGACCGCCAAAGGGGTCGCGACCCACAGGTTGAGAACCGCTGTCATAAGGGAACAGACTGATTTGAGTATAAGAAATATCAACTGATTGTTTTGTACTAGCTTTTAAGAAATTTGAGTCTCATTTAAAAAATAATTTGGTATTTGCTCCTTTTAGGACATAAAGATAGGCACAGTCACTGATTGAAGGCGTCGAAGGCTCCGGTTTCATCTGTGTAATGAGCCATCCTTTTTTCAGCTCTCAGATTGGCCCCGGATAAAGATTCCCTGGTTCTTGCAGACAAATTAACACTTGTCCGAGTTGCTTCTCTTCTAAGCGCCACTCACTTTATGATCCCCTTGTTCTCCTAGGATGAGAAAGTGTCAGAATCTACAGTGGATGCCTTCCAAAGCCTATCTTCAGAAGCAAGCAAAAGGTGATGTCAAGAGCTCTTCCCCAGCATGCTTCTTGCTTTAATGCCATATAGTTGTGCACATCTAGTGTAAAGGGAAGACTGGTTTGGTTTCTTTTTAAGTACTACTATTTAAAAAATATATATATATATATATGTATAAAATTGATTTCAGAGAGAAAAGGAGAGGGAGAGAGAGACAGAAATATCAGTGATGAGAGAGAATCATTGATCGGCTGCCTCCTGCACACCCCACACTGGGGATTGAACCAAGATCTTCTGGTTCATAGGTTGGTGCTCAACCACTGAGCCACACCAGTCGGGTTAAGGACTACTCTTTCCCAGGGAGTCGAGGTTGTTGAAGCCGGGTGATGAGTACTTGGGAGTTCGTTTTACTGTCCCTTTACCTTGGAGTTTGTTTGAAATTTTCCGTTAAAAAAAAAAGCATTTTAAAAATTCATATAAAGATGACAGTTTCTTCCATTTCCTAGAGCAATGAAAGTATAGCTCTTTTACCTGACCAGCTTAACTTGCTTGAGCCTCTTCAGTGTCAACATTAGCTGCGGGAAATTGAGAATAAGATTGTTACATTCCTATACTTGTATTTTAAGTAAAATTTTTCTTGCTTATAGATAATCATGTTTTTCCCCTAGCTGTGAAAAAGAAAGAGAAAAAGTCCAAGACCAGTGAAAAGAAAGAGAGTAGTAAAGAGAACAGTGTTGTGAAGAGCGTAGTGGACGCCAATCAGAAGCCCACCCCGTCAGCACGCGAGGACCCTGTCCCCAAGAAAAGCAACAGTGAGCCTCCCCCGCGGAAGCACGTAGACGAGAAGAGCGAGGACGGGTCCGCCTCTGCTCCGGGGCCTGAACCCAAACAAGCTACCACTCCAGCCTCCAGGAAGTCCAGCAAGCAGGCCTCCCAGCCAGCGCCAGCGCCCCCCCCACCGCCACCCAGCACAGCGCCACCCAGGAAAGACGTCCCCAAGGCAGCTCCTAGCGAGCCCAAGAAGAAGCAGCCCCCACCGCCGGACTCAGGTGAGTGAGGCCGGCAGGGAGCCGCCGAGCCAGAAGGACTAGCAAAAAGCACCGATGTCTTAAACAGCATTTGGAAACCTGCAAAACCTGAAATAGATATGTTTAAATCTTCAGTGTAAGAAAATTAGCTTTTAACCATTGCATAGTAATAAAGAAATAGAAGCCAAAAAACAATTAAGTTGGAGATACTGTCTTAATTTCCTCTTCAATGCCTAGAGTTTAAGTTATTTTCTTTTTTCCAATAGCCTCTTCTTCCAGGCCAATCAGTCCTAAAGTAGTCATTGTTCTGTAACATTAACTGTGAGTGCAGTAGCCTCTGACTGCGATTTACTTTGAATTTTTTAGGTCCAGAGCAAAGCAAGCAGAAAAAAGTGGCTCCTCGCCCAAGTATTCCTGTAAAACAAAAACCAAAAGAAAAGGTGAGAGCTGTGTTTCTTTGCCATTTCTCAGGGTTATGTTCTGTTCTTTAGGAAAAGAGCCTTATTCTTGACGTAATTGAGTGGATGAAACCGCGTTTTTGCTTCTTCGCAGGTGGCAATGGAATTTAGGCTTTAGCTCATACCTTTTTTTTTGTCTCTTTCCCCTTGTTTTATTTCCTTGTGACCCTACAAGTGTATGCTATAGGCTGCTTAGTAGAATAGTGTTTTGCCCTCAACATCCTTTAGCAATATTTGTCTGTAATCACCATCCTTCCCTGTGTGCACTGTTTTTATGATGTGGATAGAGATCTTTAAGAATCTTCTGGTTCTTTCCATGCCATCACAATGGTACATATGTTTGTTCTGTCTGATGCTCTAAAGAGCATCCATGATGCCAAGAAGGGAGGCAAACGCTAGGTTTTTTGTTTTTATTTTTTTAAATATTTTTTATTGATTTCAGAGAGGAAGGGAGAGGGAGAGAGAGATAGAAACATCAATGATGAGAGAGAATCATCCTCTACGCCCCCCACTGGGGACCGAGCCCGCAACCCAGGCATGTGCCCCTGTCCAGAATCGAACCTGGGACCCTCCGTCCGCAGGCCGACGCTCTATCCACCGAGCCAAACCCGCTAGGGCCAAATGCTAGGTTTTTATTAGGCCACGCTCCAGAGTCATCGTCCGGTTTCTGCCTGTGATGATGAAGCATGATTCCATTGGCAAATTTGAAATCATCGATGATCACAGAGCTGGGAAAATTGCTGTGAACCTCATGGGCAGGTTGAACAAATGTGGAGTGATCAGCCCAAATTTGATGTATAACTGGGAGATCCAGAAAAATTGCAGAATAACCTGCTGTCCCATAAGTTTGGTTTCATTGTACTGACCACTTCAGCTGGCATCATGGACCACAGAGAAGCAAGATGAAAACACACAGGAGAGAAAATACTGGGGTTCTTTTTCTGGGAATGTAATTACATACATGCAAATAAAATGCCTTAATGAAAAAAATTTTTTGAAAAGTACTTTACTATTTCTATAGGATACTGTGTTGGAAACATTTTCCCTTTTATTGATTAGATTTGTCATTTGCATTATTTTCTATTGCAAAGTGAAGGCCAGCCCTGTCCGCCGTGGCTTACTTGATTAAGCGTGGGCCTGTGCACAGAAGGTTGCAGGCTCCATCCCTGGTGTGGGGCGTGCAGGAGGCAGCCAATCGATGTTTCACTCTCATATTGATGTTTCTCTCCCATCCTTTCTCTCTAAAAATCAATTTTAAAAAATATTTTTTAAAAAGTGAAGGCAAGTAGAGTGTGGTTTTGTTTTTTATTTGTTTTCTATCCCTGTAGGAAAAACCACCTCCCGTCAGCAAGCAGGAGAGCGCAGGCACTCTGAACATCCTCAGCGCTCTCTCCAACGGCAGCAGCTCTAAGCAGAAGGTCCCAGCAGATGGAGTCCACCGGATCAGAGTGGACTTCAAGGTAAAAGTGTTTAGTGACCACATACTATATCGAGTCGTGGACTTTATATTTTTAAAATAGTTTTTTTATGTTTCATTTACAGTTGACTTTGAATATTATGTTAGCTTCAGGTGTACGACCATGTGATTAGACATTTCTGTAACTTAGGAAGTGATCACCCTGATTAATCTAGTATCCATCTGGCACCATATAGTTATTACAGTATTATTCCTGTGTCAGTTCTGTAACTACCAATTTGTGCTTCTTAATCCCTTCACTTTTTTTACTAATCCCCCCAGTCCCCTTCTCCTCTGGCAACCATCACAATATTCTCTGCATCTATGAGTCTGTTTCTGTTTTGTTTGTTTATTTCATTCTTTAGACTCCACGTACAAGTGAAAGCATCTGGTATTTGGCTCTGTCTGACTTATTTCACTCAGCACAGTACCCTCTAGGTCCATCCATGTTGTTGTAATTGGCAAGATTTCATTCTGTTTTATGGCTGAGTCATGTTTCATTGTGTAAATTCACCACTTCTTCTTCATCCATTTGTCTGTTGATGGGCACTTAAGTTGCTTCCATACTTTGGCTATTGTAAATAATGCCACAGTGAACATATGGATGGATGTCTTTTCGATTGAGTGTTTTGGGTTTCTTCAGAAAAATACCCAGAATAGGAATTGCTGAATCCTTTGTCTCTTGTTAAAATCTTTGTTTTAAAGTCTCTTTTGTCTGGTATAAGTATTGCTACCACAGCTTTTTTTATTTGCTTCATTTTCATGAAATATCTTTTTTCATTATTTTCTCTGTGTCTTTCCATTTGACATGAGTCTCGTGTTGACAGCATATGTAAGGGTCTTGTTTTATTATCCATTCAGCTTCCCTGTGTCTTTTGATTAGAGCATTTAAACCCTTTGTATGTAAAGTAATTGTTGATAGATACATAGTTCCTGCCATTTTATTATTCAAACTTTGATCTTTTTCTTCTTTTTATTAAAGAAGACCTTTAACATTTCCTGTAATACTCATTGGTGGTGATGAATTCCTTTAGCTTTTTCTTTTCTGGAAAGCTCTTTGTCTATCCTTCAATTCTGCTTTGTTGTATAGAGTAATCTTGGTTGTGGAGTTTTTGCTTTTTATCACTTTGAATGTTTCTTATCATTCCCTTCTGACCTGCAAAGTTTCTGTTGAGAAATCAGCTGACAGTCATATGGGCGCTCTCTTGTAGGTAACTAACTGCTTTTCTCATGCTGCTTTTAAGATTCTGTCTTTGTCTTTAACCTTTGGCATGTTAATTATGATGTGTCTTGGTGTGGGCCTCCTTGGGTTAAACTAATTTGAGACTCTCTGTGCTTCTGGGACTTGTATGTCTGTTTCCTTCACTAGGTTAGGAACGTTTTCTGTCAATTTTTTCTTTTTTTATTGTTACAGTGTTACAGATGGCCCCCAATTTCTGTCATTTTTTCCAAATAGCTTTTCAATTCCTTATTCTCTCTCTTCTCCTTCTGGCATCTTTGTGATGCGAATGTTGACAACTCACTTGAAGTTGTCCTAGAGCAGTGGTTCTCAACCTTCCTAATGCCGCGACCCTTTAATACAGCTCCTCATGTTGTGGTGACCCCCAACCATAAAATTATTTTCGTTGCTACTTCATAACTGTAATTTTGCTACTGCTATGAATCGTAATGTAAATATCTGATATGCAGGATGTATTTTTTTTTAAATATAGTTTATTGATTTTTTACAGAGGGGAAGGGAGAGAGATAGAGAGTTAGAAACATCGATGAGAGAGAAACACCGATCAGCTGCCTCCTGCACATCTCCCACTGGGGATGTGCCCGCAACCCAGGTACATGCCCTTGACCAGAATCGAACCTGGGACCTTTCAGTCCGCAGGCTGACGCTCTATCCACTGAGCCAAACCGGTTTCGGCAAGGATGTATTTTTATTGTTACAAATTGAACATAATTAAAGCATAGTGATTAATCACAAAAACAATACGTAATTATATATATGTGTTTTCTGATGGTCTTAGGCGACCCCTGTGAAAGGGTCGTTCGACCCCCAAAGGGGTCGCGACCCACAGGTTGAGAACCGCTGTCCTAGCGGCTCCTTACACTATCCTCATTTGGGGGGATTTTTTTTTTCTTTTTGCTGTTCTGGTTGGGTGTTTTCTGCTTCCTTATATTCCAAATCTCTGTTTTGATGCTTTGCTTCATCTACTATTGATTTCCTATAATGTATTCTTCATTTCAGTTGGTGTATCCTACATTTCTGACTGTGGTATTTTTTTTATGTTTTCTATCTCATTCATGTTTACTATCTCTTTGTTCCTCTGCTCTTCCCCTAAGTTCATTGAGCATCCTTATAACCAGTGTTTTGAACTCTGCATCTGGTAGATTCCTGGTCTCCATTTTGTTCAGTTATTTTCCTGGAGTTTTCCGTTCTTTCACTTGGGACATGCTTCTTTGTCTCCTCAATTTGGCAGCCTCCCCGTGTGTGTTGATGAGGTAGAGCTGCTGTGTCTCCTGGTCTTGGTCGAACGGCCTAATGTGGTAGGTGTCTCGGTGGTGCGGCCTCCCTGGGCACCAGAGCAAGGCACTCTGCTGTGCCCCTGTGTGGGCTGTGTGTGCCCCTGTGGTAGCGGAACCTTGATTGCTATTGGTACATCAGTGGGAGGTCGGTGCCCCCAGGCTGATTGACTGGTAGGCTGCGGAGACCACAGCGGAGGAGCTGCTGGGCAGTCGCCGACCCCATGGAACAGGACTCCCTCCCGCGGGGCTCTGGTGCCTGCCCAGCCTACCCCTGAATGTGCTGGCGGTTGGGTGGTGCTTCCATGTGGTCTGAGGTTGTCCACTGGACGTGCTGGTGTTGGGGTCTCCTGGGAGGTGCTGACCAAGGTCAGCTGCTGCCTCTGCCCTGCCTGGAGCCATCCGGCATGAGCAACAAGATGATCTGGTGGCTGCTCCTTGTGCCCGGCGTGGAGATGCCTGGGAGAAGGCTGAGCTGTAAACTGAGTTCAGCTGCTGCTATTGCTGAGGTTGGGGCTGCTTAGCAGCAAGTACGGGGCCTGCTGAGGCCAGATGCTGCTTGCTTGGGGTTTGTGGACCCTTTGAGAGATTTTAGGAAAGTCTGCAGCATGAGCAAGGGCAGGCCGCTGGTATGGAAAAGCCCTGGAATCGTCTTGGCGTGCCTGCAAGTTGGATGGGCAAGGGTCTCGGAATCGCTGGGGCAGGCAAACTTGTTAGCCAAGTTGATGGAGAGTCAGATATGGTACCGCCTGCACCTGCAGTGGGGGACTCCGCACAGTGGAGCTCAGAGGGAAATGAGTCTGTGTGCAGGCCCTTTAAGAAGAACACCTGGGTCTCCAGCGGCCTGTGGCTCGCTCATCCACAGTCCTCGCTGGTTTTTACAGCCAGAAGTTACGGGGACTCCTCTTCCCAGCCCTGGAACCCTGGGCTGGGCACCTAGTGTGGGGCTGGGACTCCCCTGGCCGCCGAGATACCCTTCCGATTTGTAACCACCATACATGGCTGTGGGGCCAGTGTTCTTGACTCAGTCAAGATAAAGATGATACCAGAGGTGTTGAAAGCAAGGAAATGCAGCACACAGTGGGGAAATGAATAAGAACCACCATCAGCAGATAGGTTCACGTGTTGTGAGAGCTTTGGCCCCTGTTTGTGAGTGAGAAAGTACATTTACACGAGAATAGTGTCTGAGGAAATTGTTCTTTCCCGTGGGAATTATCAAAGGGTGATGATAGCTTGGATCAGTAATAACGGGAATTCAGGCCAGTGTTATTTTGCATTATAGTTAGCGTGAGTTAAACCCATAAAGAGGTGACTGTTTTAACAGTTTGTATCTGATAGTAACATTTTTTAAAGCAGCAGTTGTTTTTGAACTCATTAAAGGAAGTATGCCTGACGTTCTTGTAGCATTCGCATTTTACCGTTTTTAACCTTATTTTCAATCCAAAGCTGTGTCATTGTAAAACTTTGATAAATGGTTGTTCTCTCTCCGCAGGAGGATTGTGAAGCCGAGAACGTGTGGGAGATGGGTGGCCTGGGCATCCTGACCTCGCTCCCCATCACACCCAGGGTGGTGTGCTTCCTCTGTGCCAGCAGCGGGCATGTGGAGGTGAGGCTGCTTCTTGTGCCTGGCGTGTAATGTGGATTAGTTTTCTTTGATGAAAATATCATTACACTAGAGACCCAGAGCACGAAATTGTGCTTGGGTAGGGTCCCTAGGCCTAACCTGCGATCAGGGCCATCTTCTGCCCACTTGCCAGTCCCCAGTCCCGTCCCACCGCCGCCCACCCCAGTTCCCTGTAGTTCCCCATTCGCCCCGATTGGAGCCTGCAGGCCAGGGGTCGGGACCATGGGGTCTGCCCTCCGCCTGCTCGCCAGTCCCTCGTCCTGCCCCGCCGCCAACCACCCCGGTTCCCCATGGTTTCCCCGTTGCCATCCAGCGGTCGGAGCCTGTGGGCTGGGGGAGGGACCAAGAGGTAGTCAGTTTACTTCATGGTGACTGGTCAGTCAGTCCTTCTGGTTGTTACGCCATTATGGTCGCTGGCCTTTTATTATATAGGATTCTGTTTTATTGATAGGCAGCAGGTACTACCCCCTGTTTAACCCAGTTAATGAGCCCTGGCTGGTTTGGCTCAGTAATAGAGCGTCGGCCTGCAGACCTTATCCCGGGTTATTCTGGTCAAGGGCTTGTACCTCGGTTGTAGGCTCCTCCCTGGCCCAGGGCCCTGGCTGGGGCCCATGCAGGAGGCAACAAATCGATGTGTTTTCTATCACATCAATGTTTCTCTCTGTCTTTCCCTCTCCCACTCTCTAAAAATCAATAAAAAATTCTCGGGTGAAGATTAAAAAATAAACCAGTTAATGAAATGCTAGTATTTTTGAAGTGTTTTAGAGATTTTAGGAAGGAATCTGCTTCATAGTAGAGTAACAAAGATATTGAGTGAGAAAAGTTTACTCTTGACTGGAGGCCTGGTTTTTCTGCTAGATGCTTAAACATAGAGAAAAATAATACGGTGTTCCTCTAGAAAAGAGATGCTTTAGATGGTGATTTTATATTGAATATCCAAACCCCCTTGTCTCTAAAGAGCTCTTTAACAATTAGTAACGAAAAGGAATAACACCCGCTAAGAAATAGGCTTAAGGACAGGAGTATATAATGCATGAAATGAGAAATAAAAACTGTGGGCGGAGGCGTTGAGCCTTCTGATGGGAATGAAAGCATGATATAAAGGGGGAACTGCATGACATAAAAAGGATCCTGTGGAAATGGGCACTCTCTTTGGTGGAAAGCTAAATTAGTTACAGCCTTTCTTTTGAGGGCTGTTTGGAAGTATGTATGTACTTAATTTTAAATGGGTATACCCTCTAACCCAGCAATTGTGCTCTAGGCATTTATCTCATGAATGTAACTGGATAAATTGGCAAATATGTAAATGTATGCACACACACATCTATACTATCTATACTAATAAAAGAGTAATATGCTAATTAGACCAGGAGACCTTCCGGAGACCTTTCGGACATCCTTCCAGACAAAGCCATGGTGGCGGGGCTGAGGCAGAGGCGGTTAGGGGTGATCAGACCAGCAGGTGGAGGTGGTTAGGGGCGATCAGTCTGGCAGGCAGAATGGTTAGGGGTGATCAGGCAGGCAGGCGAGTGGTTAGGAGCCAGTGGTCCTGGATTGCAAGAGGGATGTCCGACTGCAGGATCGGGCCTAAACTGGCAGTCGGACATCCCCCAAGGGGTCTCCAATTGGAGAGGGTGCAGGCTGGGTTAAGGTAACCCCCACCCTCTGTGCACAAATTTTGTGCACTGGGCCACTAGCACATATGTAAAACAAACCTTTCTATATGTATATACATAATAAATAGAAGGGTTTCCTTCAGTATTGTTTATGCTAGGGCTGCTTTATTTTTTTTTTTAATATATATTTTATTGATTTTTTTACAGAGAGGAAGGGAGAGGGACAGAGAGTCAGAAACATCGATCAGCTGCCTCCTGCACACCCCCTACTGGGGATGTGCCCACAACCAAGGTACATGCCCTTGACCGGAATCGAACCTGGGACCCTTCAGTCCGCAGGTCGAGGCTCTATCCACTGAGCCAAACCGGTTAGGGCTAGGGCTGCCTTAGATGTCATTGAAACTAAGAACATTCAGTCTGCAAGTGCCCGGGGGCACTGTACCTCTTTTTTTACCTAATCAAATGCTTTGTATTTACACATATGCTACCCACAGGAATTACTTAAGCACTGGGACTTAAACTTCTGTGATAAAACATGTTTTTTTCAGAGTGTAGTTGCTCTAATTTAAATTGCACGGCTGCGCGCAGCAATCCCACAGAATTCCTAAAGCCGGAACTGGAGGATGGATGGTGCACGGCCTCATTGCCTCCGACAATATAGCCAGTGCCTGGCGGGGTCTCCCACCATGCACGTTGTAAAAAATGTTTATGTTGACATGATTTCAGATTTTCAGAAATGTTACAAGGGTAGTACAAAGAACCCTCATCTCCCCTTCACCTGGAGTCCCCAAATGTTAATAGTTTCCATTTACTTTCTTCTTTTCTCTTTGTGTATTTATATTTTACAAAATAAGAAATAAAATATACATCCATTTTTATATAAGTAGACATATTTTTCCTAAAAAATTGAGAGCAAGTTCCAGACATGTGCCATTTTACCTCTAAATATTATAATTACCAAAATCAGGAAATAAGGCCTGGCTGGTGTCTTACAAACCAAGAGCTCACAGTTCAATTCCTGGCCAGGGCACATGCTCGGGTTGGGGGCTCAATCCCTGGTATGGGGCGTGCAGGAGGCAGCCAATCCATGATTCTCTCTCATCATTGATGTTTCTCTCTCTCGCCCTCTTCCTTTCTCTCTGAAATCAATAAAATCAATAAAAAAATATTTTTAAAAGAGAAAGAAAATTCTGGGTCACCCTCATTGGAATTTTTAAAAATATCGATATGAAAATAATTTATTTCTAGAATTAGACACGGAAAGGATAAGTCAGAACCTAAAACTGTTTAGAATATTGTAGAAAATCTTTAACACCATCCCTATAGCTCTTTGTTTATAGCTATCTTATGTCACTTAGCACATCATATGAAGTCTTGAATTGTATTTATTTTGTTACTTTATAATTGTATTACTCCCACATTAGTTCCCTGAATCTCCTGCAATGCCCTGTATTGTGCTGTTGAAAAATATACTGATTGCTTAATGACTATATGCTGAATAAAATACAGAGAGCACTATACTCCTAACTCCCAAAGGATGTGTGTAGGATTCGGCTGCTATATCTGCATGCTATTCTATAACTTTTCTCTCCATCTTTCCCCAGTTTGTGTATTGCCAAGTCTGCTGTGAGCCCTTCCATAGGTTTTGTTTAGAGGAGAACGAGCGCCCCCTGGAGGACCAGCTGGAAAACTGGTGTTGCCGTCGCTGCAAGTTCTGTCACGTGTGTGGAAGGCAGCATCAAGCCACAAAGGTACACGGCTAAGCAATAGAACTGCCTGGAGGATTGCTCTGTCTCCATTCCTGCCTTTTCCTTTAGGATTTTGCATCTATTTTTTTCTTTTGGCTTAGTCTGTTTTGACTATTTGATTGGGTATAATCAGTTGCCTATTTTTGTGTTTTAATTTTGGGGATATTGCATAAGACGTGGCATTGGATAAAATCCCCCAAATAAGGCAAGTCTACCTGATAAGGATATTCACCACTGAGTGCCTTTGGCAGGAAATAAATTCATGGGCTTTAATGGGGAGTAATTTATGAGGAAACTTGCCTGCTAGATGGATGTGCCATACTTACTTGGAGATAAAGATGAAATGAGGTAGGCAGCGACAGGTGTTTAGTGACGGTGAGGTGACGCCCATCCTCTTGCCTTGATGTTTTTCTTACAGCAGCTGCTGGAATGTAATAAGTGCCGAAACAGCTATCACCCTGAGTGCCTAGGACCTAACTACCCCACCAAACCTACAAAGAAAAAGAAAGTCTGGGTGAGTGCGCACAGTGTGCTGTTTCAGAGAGGATCGCCATGCGACTGTGGGCTTGGGTGACTTATAATAGGCATGTCCTTGCTTGAGGATGTCAGTGTAACAATTATTTTGGCCTCGTTATTAGAAAAAGCCATCCCAGTAGAGAAGTCACCTCTAGATATTTGTGATCTTTTTTAATCAGAGGAGCTACTAAAGATAAGAAATTCTACTGCATTTCTTTCCTTCCTTTCCAGATCTGCACCAAGTGTGTGCGCTGCAAGAGCTGCGGATCTACCACCCCAGGCAAAGGCTGGGATGCACAGTGGTCCCACGACTTCTCACTGTGCCACGACTGTGCCAAACTCTTTGCTAAAGGTACCTCCCAGAAGAGTTTTGTCGGATTTTGGATGTTGTTCTTGATGTTTTGGAGGTGAACTGAACACTCAAGTGGAATAAGATATATGTCTTACACGTCTTTTCAAGGTTTCCATTTAGGCACATTTACTAAGTTTCTGGTCTTTCTTTTACACAGAGAATTATAGCAACGAGGCATGTTTTATTAGGTTATGGGAAGAATTAAGTAGTTGTAGTTTTTTTTATAAAAGTTAACTAAACACAAAGAAATTCTCTGAGCCATTATTTCCCAAAGTGAGGTGCATAGATATTTGATTGTTTCAGAAATGATTTTATGTGGTACTGAGGCAACCATTTTACTTTATTTTCTTTTATGTTTAATTAAATTGGGGTGCCATTGGTCAACATGAACATAAAGGTTTCAGGTGTGGGTTTCTGTGTTACAAGATCCGTATATAGCACTGTGTACCCACCACCCACAGTCAAATCCTCTGTCACCATATATTAGGCCCCCTTCTCCCCCTGTCCCCTTCTCTCTGGCAGCCACCACACTGCTGTTTGTGTTCACAAGTTTCAGTTTTATATCCCACATAGGAGTGAAATCAGATGGTTCTTAGCTTTTTCTGACATTTCACTTAGCATAATGTTCTCACCGTCCATCCATGCTGTTGCAAATGGCGTTATTTCATCCTTTCTGATGGCTGAGTAGTATTCCACTGTGTATATGGACCACATCTTCTTTATCCAGCCCTCTATCGCAGGGCACTTTGGTGTTTCTATGTCTTGGCCACCGTGAATAATGCTGCAATGAACATAGGGGCGCATACATCTTTGTGAATACATGATTTCGAGTTGTTCAGGTATATACCCAGGAGTGGGATGGCTGGGTCATATGGTAGCTCTATTCTTAATTTTTTGAGGAATCGCCAGACTGCTTTGCATAGTGGCTGCACCAGTCCACATTCCCACCACCAGTGAACGAGGGTTCCCTTTTCCCACAACCTCTCCAACGCTTGTTGTTGCTTGTCTTGTTAATAATGGCCACTCTAACAGGTGTGAGGTGGTATCTCATGGTAGTTTTGATTTGCATTTCCCTAATTGCTAGTGAGGTTGAACATCTTTTCATTTCTATTGGCTGTTTGTATGTCTTCTTGGGAGGGGTGTATGTTCAGGTCCTCTGCCCACTTTTTGATTGGGTTGTTTGGTGTTGAGTTTTATAAGTTCTTTATATATTTTGGAGATTAAACCTTTGTAGGAACTACTGTTTGCAAATGTCTCCCATCTGGTTGGCTGCCTCTTTGTTTTGTTGTCAGTTTCTTTTGCTTTGCAGAAGCTTTTTAGTTTGATGTAATTTCATTAATTTATTTTTGTCATTACTTCCCTTGCCTTTGGGATCAAGTTAATAAATACTCTCTATGACCAAGATCCTTAAGTTTGGTACCTATATTTTCTTCGATGTAACTTATTGTTTTGGGTCTGATATTTAGGTCTTTGATCCATTTTGAATTAATTTTTGTACATGGGGCAAATTAATCCAGTTTCATTTCTTTGCATGTGGCTTTCCAGTTTTCCCAGCACCATTTATTGAAGAGACTATCTTTACTCCATTGTGTGTTTCTGGCTCCTTTGTTGAAAATCATCTGTCCATATACATGTGGTTTTATAGCTGGGTTCTCTATTCTGTTCCATTGATCTGTGTGTCTTTCTCTGCCAATGCCATGCTGTTTTGATCATCGTAGCTCTGTAGTATAATTTGAAGTCAGTTCGTGTGATACCTCCAGCTTCATTATTTTTTCTCAGGATCGCTTTGGCTATTTGAGGTCTTTTGTGGTTCCATACGAATCTAATGATTTCTCGTTCTATTTCTTTAAAAAATGACATTGGTATTTTGATAGGGATTGCATTAAATCTGTAAATTGCTTTGGGTAATACGGCCATTTTAACTATATTGATTCTCCCAATCCATGAGCACGGGGTATTTTTCCATTTTGTTTATCTTTTTCAATAATGCTTTGTAGTTCTCAGTATATAGGTCTTTCACATTTTTTGTTAAGTTTATCCCTAGGTATTTTATTCCTTTGGTTACAATTGCAAAAGGAATTGTTTTTTGGTTTTTTGGTTTTTATTTCTTTTTCTGAAGTTTTGTTGTTAGTGTACAGGAAGGCAATGGATTTTTGCACATTGATTTTGTATGCTGCAACTTGATTGTATTTATTTATTGTTTCTAGTGTTTTTTTGGTGGAATCTTTATGGTTTTCTATATACAGAATCATGTCATCCACAAAAAGTGACAGTTTGACTTCTTCCTGCCCTATTATGTAGATGCCTTTTATTTATTTCTCTTGCCTCATTGCTCTGGCTAGAACTTCCAGCACTGTGTGGAATAAGAGTGGTGAGAGTGGACGTCCTTGTCTTGTTCCTGATCTTAGGGGAAAAGCTTTCAGTTTTCACCATTGAGCATATTAGCTGAGGGTTTATCATAGATGCCCTTTATTATGTTGAGGTACTTTCTTTCTATCCCTATTTTATTGAGTGTTTTAATCATAAATGGATATTGTATCTTATCAAATGCTTTTTCTGCAAGTGTTGATAAAATCATACAAATGATTTTTATCCTTTCTTTTGTTAATGTGGTGTATTCCATTGATTTGCATACTTTGAATCATCCTTGTGCCCCTAGAATGAACCCCACTTGATCATAATGGGTTATTTTTTGAATGTACTGTTGTATTTTATTTGCTAGTATTTTGTTTAGGGTTTTTGCATCTGTATTCATCAGAGATATTGGTCTGTAGTTTTCTTTTTTGTGTATGTTATATTTGCCAGGTTTTGGTATGAGGATTACATTGGCTTTATAGAATGTGTTAGGAAGTATTGCCTCTTCAATATTTTGGAAGAGTTTGAGAAGGACAGTCTTATTCTCTATAGTCTATTAAGTAAAAAATAATAGGGGATACATGGATAAAGCAAATTAGTGAAGGTACTTTATTGTGCTGAAATTTAGAAGCGTTCTATAAAAGCCCTGGGAATAAAGAAAAGTGTAAATTACTCCCATACCCTCATCTCTTTTTAAAATTTAAGCATTTCTTTGGAATGTTTAAGAGAAAGTTCTCTCTTCCATTCTTTTTCTATTATGTTATCTGTAAAATCTATCTCATGACCTGTAATAATGAGCCTAGAGAACTAGTGGCCTGTTCTAAGAGCTCAGGATAATCTTGCTGCTTTCCAGGTGTGTGCACATTCCCTGGTAGGTCCATGCTGACATGTATTAAGTAGTTCCTGCATTTTATTTATTTATTTTTATTGATTTCAGGGAGGAAGGGAGTGGGGGGAGAGAGAGAGAGAAACATCAATGATAAGAGAATCATTGATTGTCTGCCTCCTGCACGCCCCCTACTGGGGATTGCGCCGGCAATCTGGGCATGTGCCCTGACCAGAATCAAACTGACCTCCTGGTTCCTAGGTTGACACTCAACCACTGAGCCATGCCGGCCAGGCGGTTCCTGCCTGTGAGATCAGGTTCACATATAGAAGTCCAGGCCTGGGGATTCAGTGGTGTGTGAACCAAAGCACTTAGCGGAACACGCTGCTTTCCTTTCAGGAAACTTCTGCCCGCTCTGCGATAAGTGTTATGACGATGACGACTATGAGAGCAAGATGATGCAGTGTGGGAAATGTGATCGCTGGGTCCATTCCAAATGTGAGAACCTTTCAGGTACAGAAGGTTGGAGTCTTTTTATTACCGTTTCCTTCTTCTCATAGCTACACTGACAGCCCCCAAAGTCCTACCAGTGTAAAAATTATGGCAGTGTTGTTTGAATTTTTGTAATTTCTTGGTCTTTAGACTCAACAACAGTGTGTGGAGTTTGTGCCCATTTATCTTGAACATGTCCCTCTGAAAAAGCTACTTGCTGTCCTTTGCGGGCACCATGACCTATCGATCCCACGATAACAGAGTCTGGATTAGTGTTGATAACGTCTCTTTGAAGAGCAATAGGTGTGAGTTCCCAGGGGACATTAGTCTCAGTGCTGTTTCTAACTGACAGCTTTCTCTGCAGTGCAGTGGCATAGCCTCCTCTTTCCCTCTCCCGCTCTTCAAAGCACCTTATGATGGTAGGTGTTTGCTTTCCCAGATGAGATGTATGAGATTCTGTCTAGTCTGCCAGAAAGCGTGGCCTACACGTGTGTGAACTGTACCGTGCGGCACCCTGCGGAGTGGCGGCTGGCCCTCGAAAAGGCGCTGCAGAGCTCCCTGAAGCAGGTGCTGACGGCCTTGTTGAACTCTCGGACCACCAGCCATTTGTTACGCTACCGACAGGTAGGCCCATGTCTCCATTTGGGTGCTGAGAGTTTGTTCTTAGGTGGCTTTTACTTCCAGAATGGTTTTTGGTTGGTTGGGAGTTTTTCCTTTTTAAAAAAAAGTTTTGCTTCATTCAGTCATTTAGGTGATTTGTTTTGACCTTAAAATCATTGAAAACATTTTTAGAGCCAAGAATAGAACCTTCTAGCCCAGCCAGTGTTGCTCAGTAGTTGAGCCCCAACCTATGAACCAGGAGGTCACCGTTCAATTCCCGGTCAGGGCACATGCTGGGGTTTCGGGCTCCATCCTCAGTGAGGTGTGTGCAGGAGGCAGCCAGTTGATGATTCTCATCATTAATGTTTCTCTCATTCTCTCCCTCTCCCTTCCTCTCTCTGAAATAAATAAAAACATTTAAAAAAGAATAGGTCCTTCTTTGGGGTAAGAAATAGGAAGGAGGCATATTTCAAAGGCCTTACTGTTATAAGAAGTTTGGACTTTATACTCGAAAGGCTATGGGGAGTCAATGAAGGCCTTCACCCAAAAGAGGAACCGAGCCTGGCGGGTGGCTCTGGCTGGAGCGTCATCTCACACACCAGAAGGCTGTAGGTTACATACCCGGTCAGGGCACATGCCCAGGTTGCAGACTTGATCCCCAGTTGAAGCAAGTTCAGGAGGCAACCGATGGGTGTTTCTCTCTCTCCCTCTCGCTGTTTCTCCTTCCCTCCCTTTCTCTCCCGCTCCCTCCCTCTTCCTCTCTGGTTTTTCCCTCTGGAATCAGTAAAAACACATATCCTATGCTGAGGATTAAAATAAAAAGAGTAACCTGATCAGAGTTGCTTTTTAGGAAAAAAAAATGATTCTGACTGGAGAGAGGGAAAGGGTTGGAGACGTCTGAACCCAAGCAAGAGAGTGGCTAAGAGGCAGTTCTGTAACCGAGGTGAGAGAGCATGGTGGCCTCATCTCAGATGGTAAGGGGCTAGAGATGCCTTAGCTCTGGGGAACCCCTGCGGCTCCTCAGGGTACAATTTGAAAACTGCTACTATGTAGCCATACAAGTTGTGGACTGTACATCTATACTAGTCATTGGGAACACAGGTGTAATGGTTGGCAGAACCACATGGGAACATTAATTCAGACTTAGGCTGCTGCTTTCTCTTTAATAGAGCTTAGTTTTTTTAAGCAAGAAGATTAGGTGTGCCCTACTGGTTTGGCTCAGACTGAAGGGTCCTGGTTCAATTGTGGATAATGGCATGCACCTCGGTTGCAGGCTTGATCCCTGGCCCTGGTTGGGGCTTGTGTGGGAGGGAACCAGTCGATGTATCTCTCTCACATCAATGTGTCTCTCTGTCTCTCCCCCTCTCTTCTACTCTCTCTAAAAATCAATGGAAAAATATCCCCAGGTGAGGATTAACAAACAAACAAAAAAGAGTATATTAAAAAAAGAAAATTAGCTGCCATTTATGACTTACTCAAAAGCAACTGGAGAGTTTCTTGGGGGGGTTTTTTTTTGGGGTGGGGTAATATAGTTTTATTGATTTCAGGGAGGAAGCGGGGGGGGGAGAGAGAAACATCACTGATGAGAGAGAATCATCAATTGGCTTTTTCTTGTACGGCCTCTACTGAGGATCAAGCCCACACCCTGGACATGTGCTCTGACCAGGAATCGAACCTCTGACCTCCTGGTTCATAGGTCAATGCTCAACCACTGAGCCACGCTGGCCGGGCAGTTTCTATTTCTTCATACTAGGCTTGGAATTTACCAAGCAAAATCTTAAATTAGCCTAGATAGCTGGCTCATTTTAACTTCTCCTTTTCTGTAATTGGAGAAATCTCTTATTTCCATGTTCTTTACGTTTTATAATATGAATCAGTCCCATCTTTATTAATTTTTATAGAATTTGCCTACATGCCTCATTTTCAGTGTTAGATTAGTGAACCTGTCTTTCCTGGCAACAGGCTGCCAAGCCTCCAGACTTAAACCCCGAGACAGAGGAGAGCCTACCTTCCCGCAGCTCCCCGGAGGGCCCGGACCCGCCTGTGCTCACTGAGGTCAGCAAGCAGGAGGACCAGCAGCCTTTAGATCTGGAAGGGGTCAGGAGGAAGATGGACCAAGGGAGCTACACGTCTGTGGTATGTCTCTGCAGCCAACTACCAACTTTTCCAGTGCCAAGTTAGTTTCCTGGGCTCTTGGTGGAAGATGAGACGGGATAAGCATGAAAAGATGACTTGTATTATATTTAGAAATGTCATGTGGCTTTAAATACCTAAAAAGATGTGGGTTGTTTTAGCCCTTTGTTTCAGAAGATCAGTGTCTTAAGTGGTTCGTTTTATTTGGCTTTCATCTGAGTTCTCTGAAAATTACTTTCATATTGAAGTCATTTTTGTATTAAAACTGTTTATGGCCCTGGCTGGTGTGGCTCAGTTGGTTGAGCATCGTCCCATGCACCGAGAGGTCGCTGGTTCTATTCCCAGTCAGGGCAGTGCTGCCCAGGGTGCAGACTTGATCCCTGGTGGAAGGTGTGCAGGAGGCAGCTAATCAGTGGTTCTCTGTCATCTATGTTTCTCTCTCTCTCTCTCTCTCTCTCTCTCTCTCTCTCTCTCTCCCCCCCTCTCTCTGCCCTGCCCCCCTTTCTCACTCTCTCCCTTTCTATCTTTCTCAAACTAGTAAAAAGATACTTTTTAAAGAATTTTATGGAAAAAATGACAGTGTGAAGTTAATTGGCTTGACCTTTTTGAGGTAACATCTGAACACTGTCTTTCTGTATAGGATATTCATTTGTAGGTAGATGCATTTTAATTTTATGGTTTTTAAACTATGTAGGAAACGATTGTTAACTCATGGTCCATATTTGCTCTTTAGTTAGTAATTCATTTTAGTCTAAATAAAATATCGTAGCCCTGTTGGGTGTAACTTACCGTGATACAACTTATTTGTTTGCATTCTTGCTTTATTAGCCTTCATCTCTTGACTTCCACAAGTTAATTGTGAACTGAATCTCAAATGCCTCCTCTAAAGAGAAACCACACTGGCCCTAGCTGCTGTTGCTCAGTGGATAGAGCATCAGCCTATGGATTGAAGGGTCCTGGGTTTGATCCCGATCAGGGCACGTGCCCGGGTTGCAGGCTATCCCCAGTAAGGGACGTGCAGGAGGCAGCCGATCCATGATTCTCTCTCTCATCATTGATGTTCTATCTCTCTCTCCCTCTCCCTTCCTCTCTGAAATCAATAAAAATATATTTTTTTAAAAGAAAAAAAAGTAATAGACACTGCACTGTATGAAAATAAGGCGTTAGCTTCCTGTGGGCCCTCTGGGCTGGGTGGTTAGGAGGGAAAGGAAGTGGTTTTGAGAGCACCCCGTTCTTTGAATAATTAATGCTTTGTTTTTGTCTGCAGTTGGAGTTCAGTGATGATATCGTGAAGATCATCCAAGCAGCCATTAATTCAGATGGAGGGCAGCCGGAGATTAAAAAAGCCAACAGCATGGTCAAGTCCTTCTTCATTCGGGTGAACTACCTTAATAGCCCCCTTCTTCATGCTTGTCTGCGGGGAGTTGCCCCCGGAATAGAGCAGACCTTTTCTCTTCTGCCTGGTGCTTTGCTCTATGGATAAGGCATCTTCTGGTTGTAGTCACTCCTAATTCCTTGGCGGGGAGTTGGTGAGGCCCCGAGTGGATGATCTTTCCCTCGGTGGCCTCACGTCATGCTCGGATCGGCGGGTGCTTGTGTGACGTGGTTTTTATGTGGTTTCCACATGAATGTTCACGTGTTTACATGCTGTTTGTTTGTTTTTCTGTTAGCAAATGGAACGTGTTTTTCCATGGTTCAGTGTCAAAAAGTCCAGGTTTTGGGAACCAAATAAAGTATCAAGCAAGTAAGTAAATTCTGTATTACTCTTTTTCTCATATAATACATTTCTAGATTGAGGTTTCTCAAGAGTAGGCTGTAATATTAAAAACGTAGTCAGTTGAAATGCTCTGAGTGCCGGCTTAGAGACAATGGTGTATGTTATGGTCTGTTGTTAGAATTGGGTCCTATTATTCATTTCCAATGGTGTTCTCTACCTTCTGAGTCCCCATATTTAATCTTACATTTTTATTCAGGTGAATCCTTTTGAGCCTTTGAGAAAGTTATCACTTGCTTCTGGAAGTGTAATCCAGAGTCATACATTGAGATTATGTTTTTAAAATAATATAAAGTCCTGTGTGATGAGGCGGTTTACAGATTGGGACTTGTGCTTACGTTCTGTGACTGGCTCGTGCCCGGGCCAAGACCCGATGAGATCAAGAATGTCATTATTGTATACAGTTCTGGGTGCGCTATGGAGTCAGTAAAGCTGTCGAATCGATTATTTCCAGCAGTGGGATGCTACCCAACGCAGTGCTTCCACCTTCACTTGACCATAATTATGCTCAGTGGCAGGAGCGAGAGGACAGCGGCCACACTGAGCAGCCTCCTCTAATGAAGAAAATCATTCCGGCTCCCAAACCTAAAGGGCCTGGAGAACCAGACTCGCCCACCCCCCTGCACCCTCCCACGCCGCCGGCTTTGAGTAAGGATGTCAGTGATTGACTTGTGAATCTCAATTTAATGTCCTTGCGCATTAGAAATTTTCACATGATCCTTAAATGTAATAATCATTCTTTTTGCTTCACTTGGAATGTTAACAAGGAATTTATAGAAATACTCTAATTTTAAAGTGGTAGGATCGCATAACTTTGCACACTTTTTGAAAGTGTTCGTTTTACAGGTTATGGGCTATTTGAGCCGAATTGTTTTCTTTTTCCTGGAAATCAAAATTAGTATCACCAGTTTTAATTGGGTGTCTTTGGGTTCCAAGGTACTGATAGGAGTCGAGAAGATAGTCCAGAACTGAACCCACCCCCAGGCATAGAAGATAACAGACAATGTGCATTGTGTTTGACTTACGGTGATGACAGTGCTAATGTAAGTACCTCGGCCACGGGTCCTACTTGCTAGATGCTCAGAACGAGCTGTGTGACCTTTGTGTCTAAACCTGATGACTGGGTGTTTTGGAACTTGGGGTTATTTCTATAACTGATTTGAAAGATGATTTGCCTTAAATTAACCTGCTGATGTCTAGTAATTTCTATCTTCTCAAAGAGCCTTTTTGAAAGTCAATAAAATACAAGTTGCACATTAGATAACTTGTATTTAATGTAGTAGAGCAGAATGGTTAAGGCCCATTTCTGTGCTGTTGACCTTCGCAAGGAGCTTAACCTCTCTGACCCTCAGTTGCATCTTTAAAATGAGCATAAGGAGAGGAATCCTTACCTCAGAGTGTCCTGGGGACTGAAAGAGGTGAGGTGTAAGGCCTTGTGCACTGCCTGGCACATATTCAGCTTATTTTCTAATTCTCCTGTCTGTGGAAGAGGCGATCAGAAAGGACAGAAGTGGAAACAGGAACATTGAAAAAGAAGTGTCATTTTTTTTTTAATGTGTGTGTTCACCTAAAGAATTTTAATTAGTTTATTGAAGTTGTCTTGACTGAGGTAAAGCAAATATCAAGGAAAACTTTCTTTGACATAATCTTTAAAGAGAAAAGAAATCTCTTTGTTTCCCAGGATGCTGGCCGCCTGCTGTACATTGGCCAGAATGAGTGGACACATGTCAACTGCGCGCTGTGGTCGGCGGAAGTGTTTGAAGACGATGACGGGTCACTGAAGAACGTGCACATGGCTGTGATCCGGGGCAAGCAGCTGGTAAGGACTCGGAAATGCCATCAGAGAGGCTCCTCGCTTTCCAGATGTGCTGTCTGTGGCTCGGTGCTGCCTCACTGCTGTTTCCCATAAGCCTTCGGGTGGTCAGCCAGCACCGAGTATTGGTGTCCACTGTGGGCAGCTGATTATCCTGACCCTTGGAGTATGGGCGAAAAAGGACACAGTGTCCTCCCTGGAGAAGAGCCCCGATTGTGACTGACAGAATCAGGTGGTGACACAGCCTAGTGACAGGGAAATGTTAACTACGTGATAAGTGTGTCTGTTAAGCCTGGTAACTCGAACACCATTATGTTTCAGGCTCGTATGCTCTTTCTAGAACGGAGTTCTTTCGGATAGAATAGCTTTCTAGAGAGATGATGTTTTTAGCCTTGATCTTCAAAGTTTCCTCTTCTCTAAATCCATCTTGCATCCTAGAAGAAAAACTGTTTTGGTCCAAATTCTAAATCAAGTTGTAATATTTAACTTTAGAAGTTATAGGGCCCCATGGACTGTGGGAGAGAAAAGGTTTTTGGAGAAGACTTTATGGCTCCTATCCTTTCCCTGTGATTCAGCAGATTATTATCAGTAAACAAAATTGCTTCTAGGAAACTCTGGAATGGGGAGGTGGAAAATGGCTTGAAATATTTGAGCATCTGACCCGGGCTGTGTTTGTTCTGCATTGTCAGCGATGCGAATTCTGCCAAAAGCCGGGCGCCACTGTGGGCTGCTGCCTCACCTCCTGCACCAGCAACTACCACTTCATGTGCTCCCGGGCCAAGAACTGTGTCTTCCTGGACGATAAGAAGGTGTACTGCCAGCGGCACCGCGATGTGATCAAAGGCGAGGTGAGAGAGCTTGCGTTGCTTCTTGAATTCTCCGGGAATTCAGGGAGAAGAGATGGAAAATAGCAAGCAAGTCGTAACTTGGCTTTACCTTCTCTAGCTGTCCCTAGCACCTGCTCCTCTTAGCGGGATGCGGGAGTTCTCCTGGTGGAAGAGGTGATTCCGAGAGCTGTGCCCTGCCCCTCAGAGAGGCAGCGTCGTGAGCATAATCTGCGAAGGGAGAGCCGAGTAACAGCTCCTCTGGGGTTTCATTTTAGGTGGTTCCCGAGAATGGATTTGAAGTCTTTAGAAGAGTGTTTGTGGACTTTGAAGGAATCAGCTTGAGGAGGAAGTTCCTTAATGGCTTGGAACCAGAAAATATTCACATGATGATTGGTAGGACATGGGCCTCGGTTGTAGGGGAGGCTGGATGTAGCATTGGGGTACTTTCTAGTCTTCGGTTATGAAATTATTTTACACTAGAGGCCCGGTGAATGGATTTGGGCACTGGTGGGGTCCCTCAGGACCAAAACTGGCTCTCCGACATCCCCCGAGGGGTCCGGGTTGTGAAAGGGTGGTTCTCAGGTGACGCACCCTGGAATCGGGCTCCCTTCTCTGGTTCCGCAGCTGCCAAGTCACCACAGCTCGGCAGCCTCTGCATTGAGTGTCTGCCCCCTGGTAGTCAGTGCGCGTCATAGCTACCGGTCGGATGGTCGGACGGTCACTTAGACTGTTATATATATATATAGATGTACCATTATCTCCTCTAATCACTGTTTTCTCCTTGGCCAGGCTCCATGACAATCGACTGCTTGGGAATTCTCAATGATCTGTCTGACTGTGAGGACAAGCTGTTTCCAATTGGATACCAGTAAGTACCGTCGCGCAGGGAAGACAGCCGCCCCACAGCCTTAGCACCCTGAAGCACTGGTCATGTTGTTAGGTGTAGAGCCACTCTTGGGAGTTACTTCTAACTGCTACTAAAAATTAACTACTTTTTTGCTACTTCTTGTAGATGAGAACTAAAGTATCATTTTATGTCAGCTAAATCCAGTTATGGAAGAAAAGCATTGAGTAATATCGTGATAAGTTTGCACAGTAACAGGTGATCACTAGAACGAATGGGGTGGTCACATTGTAAGGGATAAAAATGTTGAATCACTGCCCTCGTCCGGTTGCTCAGTTGCTTAGAGCATTGTCCCCATACACCAAGGGTGCAGGATCAGTCCCTAGTCAGGGCACATACAGGAGCAACCAGTGAATGCATAAATAAGTGGGACAGCAAATCGATGTTTTTCTCTCTTTATCGCTCCCTTCATCTCTTTAAAATCAATAAAATAAAGTTAAACATTTTTTTAAAAAAAGTTAAATCACTATATTGTACACCTGAAACTAATATTACTGATATGCTATTGTACACCAGCTAACTATATTTAAATTTTTTAAAAAATTGTTTTTCAGAATAATCTATGTATATAAAAGCCTAAGCGACTGTTTGACCAGTAGCTATGATGCACACTGAACACCAGGGGGCAGACGCTCAATGCACAGGAATGGAAACATGGAACAGACTGATGAATTTCAGGGGGGAGGAGGGAGGATGGAAAGAGATTAACCAAAGATCTTATATACATACTAGATGCCTGGTGCACGGATTCGTGCACTGGTGGGGGGTCCCTCGGCCTGGCCTACGGGGATCGGGCCGAAACTGGCAGTCCGACATCCCCTGGTTGGGGGGGGGGGTCCCGGATTGTGAGAGGGCTCAGGCCAGGCTGTGGGACCCCACCAGTGCGTGAATCCATGCACCGGGCCTCTAGTTTATAAATAAAATCTAAATAGAAAACACAGTGTCAGTCTCTTGAGATTCCGTTCAACTGGATTCAAAAGTCCAGATTGTTGTCATGGGTCACACACACCTTGTGCCTCTGTCCTCAGGTTTACATTTTCCAGGTCCTTCTAAAAATATAACCCCCACAAAAATAATCAGGTTCTCCAGTAGGAATTTATAATCTTTCCCATATGCAGTAAATTGTTTGAACTTCTAACAAGCTGACAATATAAATTCAAAATTCCCTTTCTATCGCTCCCCCTTTAGAGTCCTATTTTGCTATATATACTTCAACTTAGTCTACATCCCAATTCTGACGACAGTTTATGTTCCATACTTAGCTGGCGACTTCTTGTGTGAACTGGGCTCCCTCAGCATCCAGCACACCTGAAGCAGTTACACTTCCCTTGTCTCATGGGGTGTTTCTCCCAAAGGAAACATCTCGGGTTTGCTCTTTCCTCACTGTGTACATATTGTGGGCCAGTAGTCCCTTCCTGAGGGCCAATACTGTTTCTTGCAGGAGTTAGTATTTTTTCTCTGCATTTTAGGACACTTTACTACTTTCGTCCCCTGCTTACAATACACTTTTTTAAAAAAAGATTTGATGTTGGTTTCTGAGAGACTAGAAAAAAACAAGGACTTTCAAAAAGCTTGGAACATTCTGCCTTGGAACATTGGCTCAGTGGGTAGAGCGTCAGCCTGCAGACTGGAGGGACCAGGTTCCATTCCGGTCAAGGGTTCATGCCAGGTTGGGGGCTCGATCCCCAGGAGGGGCCGTGTAGGAGGCAGCTGATCAGTGATTTTCTCTCATCATTGATATTTCTATCTCGCTCTTCCTCTCTCCTGAAATCAATAAAAATATTTTTTTAATAAAATAGAAAGCTTGGAACATCCCAATTTGGGAAATCTGTAAGAGTCCAGGAAAGAAAGCTAAATTCTGTAAATCAAGGAGACCAGGGGATCTAGGATAAGAAGAGGTTTTGACAAATGTTAGCCTTTGCTTCTGGACCCTCACCTCTGCTGGTCCCGACAAACCTTCGCAGGTGTTCCCGCGTGTACTGGAGCACCACGGACGCCCGCAAGCGCTGCGTGTACACGTGCAAGATCGTGGAGTGCCGCCCGCCGGCCGTGGAGCCGGACATCAACAGCACCGTCGAGCATGACGAAAACAGGACCATTGCCCACAGTCCAACATCTTTTGCAGGTTGGTCTTTAGTCAAGGTGTCACTTGAGTGAGACTTTTGGGAGTACTGGGATTGAAGCATGCGGAGAATGTCACTTCTTTGGGAGGTCTCATTTGAAAATTTCCCTAACAGCTGGTTTTTTATTGGGCCATTTGTTTGATACCTTAATTGGACTGTTTTTAGTAAGGGTTTTTATATCCTACCACAGAAATGTCATCTAAAGAAAGTCAAAACGCAGCTGAAATTGTAAGTCCTTCATCACCAGACCGACCTCCTCATACGCAAACCTCTGGTTCCTGTTTTTATCATGTCATCTCAAAGGTTCCTAGGATTCGAACACCCAGTTATTCTCCAACACAGAGGTCCCCTGGCTGTCGGCCACTGCCTTCTGCAGGTAAAGGGTTTCATTGACTCCAAGGTCAGCTCAGACGGGAATTTGTAATTTTTTTCAGGCCATTTTATTTTAGTGACTTATACTTACTGAAAATGTTGATTTTTCGTTACCTGTAAATATACATAGCCAAGACTTAAACCAGTGACTACCCACAGTTCTGTCAGTAACAGACTTTGTCACTCTCTCTCTCTCCTTTAGGAAGCCCTACTCCAACCACTCACGAAATCGTCACGGTGGGCGACCCTTTGCTCTCCTCGGGGCTCCGAAGCATCGGCTCCAGGCGGCACAGTACTCCGTCCTCAGCACCCCAGCAGTCGAGACTCCGGATGATGTCTCCAGTGAGAACGGGGAGCACTTACTCCAAGAATAGTGGCTCCTCCGTCTCCACCCCGGGGGCCACTGCGGACCTGGAGTCAAGTGCCAAGGCAGTGGATCATGTCTTAGGGCCACTGACTTCAAATACCAACTTAAGGCAAAACACTCCCACCTCTTCCAGTTTGCAGAGGACAGTGGTGATGATGGCCACCAAAACCAGTCACGTGGATGGCTCTTCATCTTCAGAAATGAAGCATCCCAGCGCTTCAGACCTGGCCTCCAGCAGCTCCTCTTTGAAAGGAGAGAAGACCAAAATGCTGAGTTCCAAGAGTTCCGAGGGCGCCGCTCATAACGTGGCCCACCCCGGCCTCCCCAAACCGGCTCCGCAGCGTCATAGTCCACCATCTGGCGAACCAAATGTTAGTAAAATGGGCGCGTTTGTGGAATTCTCTTCGGTGCCGTTTTCCTCCAGAGAGGCCCTCCCCCTCCCGCCGCTCCATCTGAGAGGGCAGAGGAATGATTGGGACCCGCATCCAGACCCCACCCAGGCAGGGAGTCCCCCCGCTGAGGGCGACACGGACATCAAAACCTTGAAGCTGTCGGGGGTGAGCAACCGATCATCTATCATCAACGAACAGGTGGGATCTAGCTCCAGAGACAGGAGACAGAAAGGGAAAAAGACTTGTAAAGAAACCTTCAAAGAAAAGCGTTCCAGTAAGTCCTTCCTGGAGCCTGGTCAGGTCGCCGCTGGTGAGGAAGGACACCTAAAGGCGGAGTTTGCAGATGAAGGTTTGACTCCTGAGTTTCCAGGGCAACGGCCATGTAACAACGTGTCTTCTGATAAGATTGGGGACAAAGTCCTTGCTGCTTCTGGAGTCCCCAAAGCTCCGTCCGTGCAGGGAGAAGGCCCTGCCACGGAATTACAGACGCCCCGAAAACGCACGGTCAAAGTCACACTGACACCCCTGAAGATGGAAGGTGAGAGTCAGTCCAGAAATGCCCTGAAGGAAAGCAGCCCTGCTTCCCCTTTGCACATGGAGTCAGCCTTGCCAGCAGAGCCCGTGTCAGCCTCCGGAAGTCCAGGAGCTGGGCCAGTGGCCCAGCCAAGCCCCAGCAACACCTCCTCCCAGGAGCCCCCGAGCAACAGCTACCAGACTCTTCCCGTCCAGGACAGGAATCTCATGCTTCCTGACGGCCCCAAGCCCCAGGAGGACGGGTCTTTCAAAAGGAGGTACCCCCGCCGGAGCGCCCGGGCCCGCTCCAACATGTTCTTCGGGCTCACCCCCCTCTACGGAGTCCGGTCCTACGGGGAAGAAGACCTTCCGTTCTACAGCAGCTCAACGGGGAAGAAACGAGGCAAGAGGTCGGCCGAAGGGCAGGTGGATGGGGCTGATGACTTGAGCACTTCCGACGAGGACGACCTGTACTATTACAACTTCACCCGGACGGTGATCGCGGCGGGGGCAGAGGAGCGGCTGGCGGCCCACAACCTGTTTCGGGAGGAGGAGCAGTGTGATCTCCCGAGAATCTCACAGCTGGATGGTGTTGACGACGGGACGGAGAGCGATACCAGTGTCACGGCCACCACGAGGAAGACCGGCCAGATTCCAAAAAGAAACGGGAAAGAGAACGGGACAGAGAGCCTCAAGCTGGACCGGCCCGAAGACGGGGAGAAGGAACATGTCATCAAGAGTTCTGTGGGCCACAAAAGCGAGCCCAAGGCAGAGAACTGCCACTCGGTGAGCCGAGGGAAGGCCCAGGGGCAGGACTCCCTGGAGGCTCAGCTCAGCTCCTTGGAGTCCAGCCGCAGGGTCCACACCAGCGCCCCCTCGGACAAGGCCTTGCTGGACACCTACAACCCCGAGCTCCTGAAGTCGGACTCCGACAACAACAACAGCGACGACTGCGGGAACATCCTGCCCTCGGACATCATGGACTTTGTCCTGAAGAACACGCCCTCCATGCAGGCCTTGGGGGAGAGCCCGGAGTCCTCGTCCTCGGAACTCCTGAACCTGGGCGAGGGCCTGGGCCTCGACAGCAACCGTGAGAAGGACATGGGTCTGTTCGAAGTGTTTTCTCAGCAGCTGCCGACCGCGGAGCCTGTGGACAGCAGCGTCTCTTCGTCCATCTCAGCCGAAGAGCAGTTCGAGCTGCCGCTGGAGCTGCCGTCCGACCTCTCGGTGCTGACCACGCGGAGCCCCACGGTCCCCGGCCAGAACCCCGGCAGGCTAGCCGTCATCGCAGACGCAGCAGAGAAGAGAGTCGCCATCCCGGAGAAGCCCGTGGCCGCCTCCGAGGATGACCCAGCGCTGCTGAGCCCGGGAGTCGACCCCGCGCCCGAAGGCCACATGACTCCCGACCGATTCATCCAGGGACACATGGACGCCGACCTCGCCAGCCCCCCGTGCGGCGCAGTGGAGCAGAGCCGTGGCAGCAGTCAGGATTTAACTCGGAGCAGCAGCACCCCTGGCCTCCAGGTACCGGCTTCCCCTTCTGTGCCCATCCAGAACCAGAAATACGGGCCCAGTTCTGCCGAGAGCCCCGGCCCGTCTCAGATCTCTAATGCGGCCGTGCAGACCACGCCTCCCCACCTGAAGCCGCCCACCGAGAAGCTCATTGTCGTTAACCAGAACATGCAGCCACTTTACGTGCTCCAGACTCTGCCGAACGGCGTGACCCAGAAAATCCAGCTGACCTCTTCCGTTAGTTCTGCACCCAGCGTGATGGAGGCAACCCCTTCCGTGCTGGGGCCCATGGGCAGTGGCCTCGCGCTGACCACGGGGCTAAACCCAGGCTTGCAGACACCTCAGCCTCTTTTCCCTCCTGCTGGCAAAGGCTTGCTGCCCGTGCCTCACCACCAGCACTTACACCCCTTCCCCACAGCTGCTCAGGGCAGTTTCCCGCCCACCATCAGCAGTTCTCCTCCAGGCCTGCTCATTGGGGTGCAGCCTCCTCCAGATCCCCAACTTCTGGTGTCTGAAGCCAGCCAGAGGACAGACCTCAGCACCACGGTAGTCACTCCGTCCTCTGGACTCAAGAAAAGACCCATATCTCGCCTGCAGACCCGAAAGAATAAGAAGCTTGCTCCCTCTAGCACCCCTTCAAACATTGCCCCCTCCGATGTGGTTTCTAACATGACACTGATTAACTTCACACCCTCCCAGCTTCCAAATCACCCCAACCTGTTAGATTTGGGGTCACTTAACACGTCATCTCACCGGACTGTCCCCAACATCATAAAAAGGTCTAAGTCCGGCGTCATGTATTTTGAACAGGCACCCCTGTTACCACAGACGGTGGGCGGACCTGCCACAGCGACGGGCACGTCGACCGGGAGCCAGGACACTGGCCACCTCGCTTCGGGGCCCGTGGCCGGCTTGGCGTCCGGTTCCTCAGTCTTGAATGTCGTATCCATGCAAACGACAACAGCCCCTACGAGTAGTGCGTCGTTTCCGGGACATGTTGCGTTGACCAACCCGCGGTTGCTGGGCGCCCCAGACACTGGCCCCATAAGCAACCTGTTGATTAAAGCCAGCCAGCAGGGCCTGGGGATCCAGGACCAGCCCGGGGCTCTGCCGCCCAGCTCGGGAATATTCCCCCAGCTGGGGTCGCTGCAGACCCCCTCCACCGCGGCGATGACGGCTGCATCTGGCGTCTGCGTCCTCCCCTCGACGCAGACAGGGGTCCTAGCGGCCGCCTCCCCCTCCAGGGACGCCGAAGATCACTATCAGCTTCAGCATGTGAGCCAGCTCCTGGCCAGCAAAGCGGGAATTCTCCCTTCCCAGCGGGATCCTGAAGCTGCTCCAGGGACCCAGGGGCCGGGCTTGGCGCAGACAGCAGACGCTCCTAACAGCCTGGGGCTGGAGCCAAAGAGGGCGGCCTCCTCTGCCGGACAGGCCCGCGCGGCCTCCCCTGCGGGCTCCCCCTCCTCTGGACCCCAGTCCACAAGCCCCTCCGTGCCAGGCGCTCACCCCAAACCAAAAAGCAAGCGCATCCAGCTGCCTTTGGACAAAGGGAATGGCAAGAAGCACAAGGTTTCCCACCTGCGGACCAGCTCCTCGGAAGCACACGTTCCGGACCAGGAGGCCCTCACGTCCTCCCTGACCTCGTCCACAGGGTGAGAGCCAGTGTCGGCCGTGCTGGGTCTGTGGGGTCCGGGCCCCGAGCAGAGGCTGGGGGAGGGGTCATCTGTGAGAGGATCAGCCTTCTGTCCACGTTTGTAGTGCTCGGGTGTTTTCTGGGTTTTAAATGATTGTTTTCTCACTCACGGTGGTGGCATATAGAGCAGACTTCAGTGCCATTCGTGAGCAGTGGGTCTCCTGCATAGAACCACGTCTCTGCTCGGCTCTGATGTAACACGGTGCCGCTGCTGGCTGCTGTTGCTTCTTTGCTGAGGCCGAGGGATGGTTATTCCTGTTCAGAGTGTAACATGTCTGATGTGCACAAGTGAATGTTACATATATATGCGCCCAGGGAGCCACCATTCAGATCGAGATAGAAAACCTCCCTAGTGCTCCAGAGACTCCTGGTGCCGTGGGCAGCTCCCCGCAGGGCACCCACACCCCCTACATCACCACGGGCTGGGGTTGAGGTTACCAGAGCCCGACTGTCGTTTCTGTGGCCTGACCCCCACCCTGGTGCATACGTGCTAACGGTTCTGTTTCAGGGCCCCCGCAGCAGAGGCCGAGCAGCAGGACACAGCTGATGGGGAGCCGGCGGCACAGGAGTGTGGGCAGCCCCCGGGGTGAGCAGAGGAAGGTCTCCAAGACCAAGTCCTCATTAAACATCCTTCTTCCTGCGTGTGTGGCCGGTGTGTTCTGATCCTACCAGAGCCTGTGTGTGTGGATCTGTGTGGCTGGTGTGTTCTGATCCTCACCAGAGAAAATGTTTATTGATTTGAGAGAGACACATCCATGTGGGAAACATGATCAGGTGCCTCTCGCACGCTACCTGACCAGGCATTGAATCCGAAACCCAGGCATGTGCCCTGACCGGGAATCAAACCTGCAACCCTTTTGTGCACAGGACGATGCTCCAACCAACTGAGCCACTCGGCCAGGGTGCCAAAGTTCCTTTAATAAAAGTCATACAGTATAGGATTATTTAAATAATGGATAATGGTTCCCTGTTCATCCTGCCTAACCCCATCCCAATCTATTCCTTAGAGGTAACATTGCTAACAATTTGTTTTCATCCATGGTGACATTTTTAAAAATACGTTTTTAATTGATTTGAAAGAAAGAGGGATATAGAGATTGAAGCATCAATGAGAGAAACATTGACTGCCTCTCCCATGCCCCCTACTGGCGATGGAGACCACAACCTGGGCATATGTCCTGACCGGGAACCAGACCCTGACCTCCTGGTTCATAGGTTGCTGCTCAACCACTGAGCCACACCGGCCGGGCTGGGAGACCTTTGTATGCATACACAGATATATGTGGCATACATAAGGACATGTATATACTTCTTTTTACATAGAATGAGTAATGCTATACATACTGTTCTTTACCTGGTTTTATCGCTTACCAAATTGTGTGCGCATTTCTGTACAGTGTTTATAGATGCACTTTATATTTTAGTGGCGGCCTCTGGCTCCTGTGTGCGATCTACAATAACTTACCTAACTATCCCCTTTAGTATATATTTCACTGTTGCGGGTTCAATCCCCGGTTGGGGCCCATTGTGGGAGGCAACCGAAAGCAGCCAACTCAAGCTGCTCTTAAGTGATTCCAGAACTGCTTCTAGCAAGTGTTCTTTAATCCTTTTCCCAATACTAAGGGTGAGAAAAAATGTAAGGACACAATCTACAACCCCAAAAGTAAAAGTTGAATGTCGCCCTAGCCAGTTTGGCTCAGTGGATAGAGCATTGGCCTGCGGGTTCGATTCTGGTCAAGGGCATGTACCTCGGTTGCAGGTTCCTCGTCCCTGGTTGGTGTGTGTACAGGAGGCAACCAATCGATGTGTCTCTCTCACATCGATGTTTCTCTCTGTCTCTATCTCTCCCCCTTCCACTCTAAAAAATCAATGGAAAAATATCCTCGGTTGAGTATTAACAAAATAAATAAATAAAAATTTAATATCAGTATTTTGGGGGGGGGGGAATCTCCTAGAACAGTGGTCAGCAAACCGCGGCTCGCAAGCCACATGCGGCTCTTTGGCCTCTTGAGTGTGGCTCTTCCACAAAATACCACTTGTGGGCACGCACGTACAGTGCGATTGAAACTTCATGGCCCATGTGCAGAAGTCGGTTTTCGGAACGGAGATAGATGCAACAAGTATACAAGACGAGTGTGGATGGGAGTGTTGGAAAGGGTCGACCTCAGCGAACGTACCTCAATCAGATTGAGGACATTTTTAGCAAAGGCCAGCTTAGGAGTACCCTAATTAAGTTAATAACAATGTACGTACCTATATAGTTTAAGTTTAAAAAATTTGGCTCAAAAGAAATTTCAATCGTTGTACTGTTGATATTTGGCTCCGTTGACGAGTTTGCCGACCGCTGGCCTAGAAGATGGCTTTCTGTTGGTGCCGCATGGTAGCGGGTGGTGGTGCTCATTCACTGGCTGGTCTCCGGCAGTGGCTTTGTGTAACTGACACAGCTTTTAGCTTTGAACTGAAGTCCTAGCTGATAAATCTCACATTTGTGTTTTGGGTTGTTTTTGTGTGTGTATGTGTGTGTTTTAGGCAAATGGCTGTTCTTCCTGAGGTTCAGACAACACAAAATCCAGGAAATGAACAAGAAAGTACAGGTATGTGGGTGGGTAACTGGTCCGAATCAGAATTTCAAAGCCAAACGTGCTGTAAAAATCACCTGCATTACCTACTGGTTTTTCTAGATTTAAAAATAAATCCCCCCCAAACAGTCACACAGAAGCGAAGTGATGGAACAAACTAGCCTGAGCCCCACAGCATCTCTGCCCCGTGCTCGTCCACTACAGATCCTGTGGCCGTCTGTCCAGGAAAGGACACAAGACTGAAACCTTTAACTACGCTCCTGCTCCACTTGCTTGAATAGCAGAGCAGTATGGTGCAAATAGCTAGTGACGCCCTGGCCGGTGTGGCTCAGTGGACAGAGCGTCGGCCTGCAGACCAAAGGGTCCCGGGTTTGATCCCGACCAAGGGCACGTACCTCGGTTGCAGGCTCCTCCCCAGCCCGTGCCATGGTCGCGGCTCATGCAGGAAGCAACCAATCGATGTGATTCTTTCACATCAATATTTCTCTGTCTTTCCCTTTCTTTAAAATTAATGGAAAAATATCCTTGGGTAAGAATTTAAAAATAATAATAATAAAAATAAAAAGTAAGTAAATAGCTCGTGATAACCTCACTTCATTCACCCCTGGTTGTCACTGAAGAAAACCAGGAAGCATGCTTACTCTGTAAGCTAGCCAGATTCAGCTGTGCCACCAGATACTCTCCAGAGCCCTCCCGGTCTGTCCTGCTGATGTGGTCAGTAAACAGCAGGTCATTTGTTCCGATTGGGGAGCTCTGGGGTCAGGCTTTGCCCGTTTCCATTAAAGGGCCTGTCTTCCCCAGAGGAGAACCCGGTGGGGAAACTGCTTGGACACCAGCTTTGGGGTGTGGGAACACTGCTGCCTTGCTGATCCTCGAGAAGGTGGGTCGGTCTCTGTGTGGGAGGACAGCAGGGGCCGACCGTGCAACTCTGAGCCACAGGAGTTCAAGCCCCGAGTTCCCATCTATTGGCTGCCTGAACCTGGGCTGCTAGGCCGCTTACCTCTCTCTGTCTCAGTTCCCTCACGTACTCATCGGACTTTTGTGAGGTTTGTGAGTTACTATCAAGGGAACGTACCTGAGGGAGTAGGAGAGTGCCCGGTACATACTGCTGCATACACATTAGCAGTGTTATTTTTTACTTTAACCTACAGAGGGCAGTCACTTACTGAAAAACTCAAATTGTCATACTAGAAACTCTGCCACAAAGAGCATGACTCTATGTTAAGACCATTCTTTCTAGTTTTACTGGTAGTCGTGTGTAGCTATGGCCTGAGTAGCGAGCTCACCTCCTTGAGACTCCGTTTGATTGCCTGTCAGTGGGATAATCCCTGTTCTGGATGCCGCTGGCTTCGCGATGGTGTGCGTAGTCTGGGCTCCCCGGGCCTGCTGCTGTGGCCGCTGACGCTCTGCGCTCTCCCTCGCAGACCCGAAGGCGGCGGAGGAGGAAGATGGAGGCTTCAGCTCGCCGCTCATGCTCTGGCTGCAGCAGGAACAGAAGCGCAAGGAAAGCATCACTGAGAAAAAGCCCAAGAAAGGCCTGGTGTTTGAAATTTCCAGTGACGACGGCTTCCAGATCTGTGCGGAGAGCATTGAAGGCGAGTGGATTGCTCGGGCTGCACCGTCCGTGTTTGTGCCACTTGCAGGGCAGCGCTGAGCGGCTGTGCTGGGAGGTGTTGGGGGCTTTGCACGTGGTTTGTCCTTAGAAGTTAGTGTTCCTGAGAAACAGTCCGTGGTCTATGGGAAAGTTAGGGATACCGGTTATGTTTTGAAGGTTACACACACCCTGCATAGCACGTGAGACCTCTGCTTGTCTCTCTCACTTTTCTCCCACCACTTCCTGTTTTGTTGTTTCTTTCTCCTTTTTTTTTTTAATTGATTTCAGAGAGGAAGGGGGGGGGGAGAGAGAGAGAAGAAACATTGATGATGAGAGAAGAGAATTGTTGATCGGCTGCCTCCTGCACGCCCCCCACTTGGAATTGAGCTCCCAACCCGGGCATGTGCCTTGACCAGAATCAAACCTGGGACCCTTTAGTCCCCAGGCCAATGCTCTATCCACTGAGCCAAACCGGCCAGGGCCTTCCTGTACATCTTGAATGGTGTTCTCCCTCACCTCTATAAACGTTTGTTTACTTTTATGTCTTACTCAGCAGGCAACTTCCCGGAAGGGCTTGAAGCTTGTGTTCTTCCTAGAGACCTGATACACAAAATTCATGCGGGTGTGGGGGGGTGGGGATCAGCCTGGCCTGCACCCTCTTGCAGTCCAGCCCTCTCACAGTCCGGGACCCCTTGCTCCTAACCGCCCGCCTGCTTGCTCCTTGCCTGCTCGCTCCTTACCACCTGGCTCGCCATTCCTTAGCGCTGCCCCGGAAGCAGGACAGGCTCCCGCCACCGCCGCTGCACTTACTGGCCGCGAGCCTGGCTTCTGGCTGAGCAGAGCTCCCACTGTGGGAGTGCACTGACCACCAGGGGGCAGCTCCTGCGTTGAGCATCTGCCCCCTGGTGGCCAGTGCAGGTCATAGCGACCAGTTGTTCTGGTTCTGCCATAACAGTCGCTGGGCTTTCATATATATAGATTTAACATTTTTGTGCCCCTAACATGTAGCTGTTCATTAGCTGTTGAAGGACTAGTGAATGTGCTGTAGGCAACAGGTACTAGAGGAGTTTCAGGGGGAAGAAAGGTCAGTGTGGGTCAGCGAGAGTTATCAAAAAAAACATGAAAGCCCGAACTGTGTTGCTCAGTGGGTAGAGTGCTGGCCTGCGGACCAAAGGGTCCTGGGTTCGATTCCAGTTGAGGGCACGTACCTTGGTTGCAGGCTCCTCCTTGGCCCTTACCCTGTTCAGGGTACTCACAGGAGGCAATCAATCGATAATCCATGTGTTTCTCTGACATTGATGTTTCTCTCTCTCTCTTTCCCTCTCTTATTTACTCTCCCTAAAAATCAATGGAAAAATATCCTCGAGTGAGGATTAACGACGAAAAAAGAAAGAAAGAAAAATGTTAAGAGAACTAGACTGAGTCTGAAATCCACATGGATTTCTCCCCACCACTCCACACTTACTTCTGTGACAGTGAGGGACGATAGGACCTTAGGGGAGAGCTGAGAGGGACTGTGCAGGTTTCCAGTTACAACTCGTCATTGTGAGGCACTGAGAAGTCACGGTGTCCCCACAGTCTTGGTAAGTTGTTCGTTGTTACTGCGTTGGTCAAAGTGTAGGGAGTAGAATTAACACCAACGCTTAGGCTTAGGGTCCAGGTGCCATCGAGGGATGGCAGTGCTTTGAGGACTCGTCATTTCAGGCGGTCTGGATCCCCTCACTGCCTCTGTCCTTTTCCCTCTCCGCTTCTCATGCACTGAACTGATTGAAACTACAAAACAAAACCTGCTGCAGCAGGAGCGTGCGCTTCACGCCGCGGGATTCTGAGAGCAGTGCTTGCGCTGCCACTGGTGCGGGACGCGTGCTGGAACATTGTCTTTCCTCACAGATGCCTGGAAGTCGCTGACAGACAAAGTCCAGGAAGCGCGGTCCAATGCCCGGCTAAAGCAGCTGTCGTTTGCAGGTAACAGCTAGTGTGCTCATTCTGCTCCTGTCTCAGAATATGCTGGTAGCTTGGTCTACGTTACAGAGTTGATTCTAAAAACAAAACAAAAACCACAGCAACATTCTTTTTTTTAAATGAATTTTCACAACTTTATTGCGACATAATTCTTTTACTGTACGTTCACCCTTTAAAGCACACAGTTCGGTGGCTTTGAGTGTGCTCACCAAGGAGCAGCCGTCCTGTCTGTATCACGCCAGGACATTTCCATTATCGCCAAGAGCAACCTCGTGCCCGTCAGCAGTCATTGCTCAGCTCCAGCCCCTGGCAACCACGAATCCACTTTTTGTGTCGGTGGGTTTGCTGTGTATTTCGTACGTGGGACAGGGCTAGGCTGTCCAACTAGAGGGGTAACCAGTTCAGAACGACTGTTCAAATTTAATTATAGTTCATCCAGTGCAAAAAGAAGGAATCGTACAATATGTGGCCTTCTGGGGCTGGCTTCCTTCATTTAATACCATGCTCTGCTGTAACGTGGCCTCAGCACTCGCATCCTTTTTCTTTTTATTAACAAATGAATTTTGGCAGAATACACGTAAAATTTACCATCTTAACCATTTTGAGGTGTAGAAATTCAGTGGTGTTGAATACATTCTCAGTGTTGTACAGCCGTTGCCACCCATCACTCTTCATTCTTCCCCTCGCCCTGGCCCCTGGCCACCACCATTGTACTTTTTGTCTTTGTGAGTTGGATTACTCTAAGCACCTTATGTAATCATACAGTTTGTGACTTGCTTATTTCACTTACCATAATGTCCTCAAAGTTCATCCATGTTGTAGTATATGTCAGGATTTACTTTTTAAGGTTGAATAATATTTTACTGTGTCGTATTTTACATTTTGCTTATCCATTGATCGTCGATGGACACTTGGCTTACTTAATATTAATCCCTTATTAGATACATGTTTGCAAATAATTGCTCTCATTCTGTGACTTTTTACTCTATGGATAGTGTCCTCCCATTTTTTGCAGATGGTGAGGGAGATATTTTGGGGGCAAGAAAATAGGGTTCATGGATCTGGCTCTGACCAACTGGTTGTCACTGGATGAACTATAATTAAATGCGTCCTTAGTTGTTCTGAACTAGTTATTGGTAATGTGTAATTCTACTGGAGGGTTTGGCTCAGTGTTCTCCTCAGATTGAATAGTCTGGCCCTTTCTTTCTCCAGTGGCACAAAGATTTCTTTGGTTTATCCGTGTCTTGTGCTGCAATATGCAATGTAAGAAACCCTGAGCTCTGGAGGCAGATAGATCTGAGTTCAAGCTCTATTTCTGCCCTGTTGCTATCGATATTATATTGTTTGCAGCTAACTAACTTCTCTGAGTCTGGATCTCCGTATCTATAAGGTCATAATATTACTCCAACTTTCGATCTTTGTTGTGAGGATTAATTAAAATAATGAACCTGCCCTAGCTGGTTTGGCTCAGTGGATAGAGCGTTGGCCTGCGGACTGAAGGGTCTCGGGTTCAATTCCAGTCAAGGGCACATGCCTGGGTTGTGGGCTCGATCCCCAGTAGGGGATGTGCTGGAGGCAGCCGAGCAGTGATTCTCTCTCATCATTGATAACTCTCTCGCGCGCGCTTTCTCTCTCTCCCTCTCTCCCCCCCTTCCTCTCTGAAATCAATAAAGGAATATTAAAAATATATATATAATGAATCTTACATTATTGGCAGCTCTTCATTTATATGTAGCTATGTATTTATGTATCCTAATATACCTAATGTGCCAGTTAAGAGCATTATCCTGACTGAAGGGATTTGAAACCGAATTCAGGGAAATTATTGAAAATTAGCACTTTTTATAGCATCTTCTCTTTTTTTTAATCTTTATTATTAAAAGTATTTCCCCCATTGAGCCCTTCTAGCCCACCCCTGCTCCAGGCCTTCACCACCATATTGTCTGTGTCCATGGGTTACACAGACATGCATGCAAGTTCTATGGTTGATTACCTCCCACCCACCCACCCACTCTTCCCCGCCTTCCCTCTGAGATTCCACATTCTGTTCACTGTCTCTGGATATATTTTGTTGATTAGATTCCACATGTGAGTGAGATCAGTGACACTTGTCTTTCTCTGACTGACTTATGTCACTTAGCATGATACTCTCCAGATCCCTCCATGCTGTCTCAAAGGGTAAGAGATGCTTCTTTTTTGCTGCTGCATAGTATTCCATGGTGTAAATGTACCACCGTTTTTTACCCACTCATCTACTGATGGGCATTTAGCTATTGTAAATTGTGCTGCTATGAACACAGAGGTGCATACATTCTTTCTGTGTGGTGCTTCAGGTCTCTTAGTATATATTTCTAGAAGTGGGATCACTGGGTCAAATGCTGTTCCATATTTAATTTTTGAGGAAACTCCATACTGTTCTCCACAGTGGCTGCACCAGTCTGCATTCCCACCAGCAGTGCACGAGGGTTCCTTTTTCTCCGAATCCTCGCCAGCACTTGTCAGTTGTTGCTTTGTTGATGGTAGCCATTCTGACAAGTGTGAGGTGATACCTCCTTATTGTTTAATTTTCATCTCTCTGATAATCAGGGACTTTGAGCTTTTTTTCATATGTCTCTTGGCCATCTGTATGTCCACTTTGGAGAAATGTCTATTTAGGTCCTTTGCCATTTTTTAATTGGATTGTTTATCTTCCTTCTGTTAAGTTGTATGAGTTCCTTATATGTTTTGGGTATTAACCCTTTACCAGATGTATCATTGCCAAATATGTTCTCCCATACAGTGGGCTCCCTTTTCGTTTTGGCGATTGTTTCTTTTGCTGTGTGGAAGCTTTTCATTTTGATGTGGTCCCGTTTGTTTGTTTTCTCAGTTTCCTTTGCCCTCGGAGATGTATCGGTGAACATGTTGCTATGAGAGATGTCTGGCATTTTGCTGCCTTTGGTTTCTCTTGGGATATTTATGGTTTCACGACTTGACTTACATTTAAGTCTTTTATCCATTTTGAGCTTATTCTTGTGTATCGTGTAAGTTGGTGGTCTCTAGTTCCAATTTTTTGCATGTATCTGCCCAATTTTCCCCACACCATTTATTGAAGAGACTCTCTTGACTCCATTGTATATTCTTGCCTCCTTTATCAAATATTAATTGTAGTTTTCCGAGTACAAGTCTTTTATCGCCTTGGTTAAGTTTATTCCTAATTATCTTACTTTTTTTTTGTTGCAATGGTAAATGGGATTATTTGTTTAGTGTCTCTTTCTAAGAATTCATTATTGGTGTATTTAAAAAAAATCAATTTCTGGGTGTTGATTTTGTATCCTGCTACATTGCCCAATTCATTTATTAAATCTAGTAGTTTTTTGGTGGAGTCTTTAGTGTTTTCTATTACGATATCATGTCATCTGCGAATAAGGACAGTTTTACTTCCTCCTTTCCAATTTCGATGCCTTTTATTTCTTCTTGTCTGATCACTGTGGCTAGGATTTTCAGTTGAATAAGAGTGGTGAAAGCAGACATCCCTGTCTTTTTTTTTTTTTTAATATATTTTTATTGATTTTTTACAGAGAGGAAGGGAGAGGGATAGAGAGTTAGAAACATTGATGAGCAAGAAACATCGATCAGCTGCCTCCTGCACACCCCCTACTGGGGATGTGCCCGCAACCAAGGTACATGCACTTGACCGGAATCGAACCCGGGACCCTTCGGTCCACAGGCCAACGCTCTATCCACTGAGCCAAACCGGTCAGGGCCAGACATCCCTGTCTTGTTCCTGTTCTTAGGGGAAATGGTTTTCATTTTTTCCCATCGAGTATGATGTTGGCTGTAGGTTTGTCATCTATGGCCTTTATTATGTTGAGATATGATCACTGTATTCCGACTTTGCTGAGTTTTTATCAAAAATGGGTGTTGGGCCCTAACCGGTTTGGCTCAGTGGATAGAGCATTGGCCTGCGGACTAAAGGGTCCCAGGTTCGATCCCCGCTAAGGGCATGTACCTTGGTTGTGGGCACATCCCCAGTAGGGGGCGTCAAGGAGGCAGCTGATCGATGTTTCTCTCTAATCGATGTTTCTAACTATCCCTCTCCCTTCCTCTCTGTGAAAAATCAATAAAATATATGTTTTTTAAAAAATGGGTGTTGGATTTTGTCAAATGCTTTTCTGCATCTATTGATATGATCGTGTGATTTTTGTCTTTCAGTTTGTTTATACGATGTATCACGTTTATTGATTTGCGAATATTGTACCAGATTTGCATCCCTGGGATAAATCCTACTTGGTCATGGTGTATGATCTTTTTAATATATTGCTGGATCTAATTTGCCAATATTTTGTTGAGGATTTTAGCATCTATGTTCATCAGGGATATTGGCCTGTAATTCACTTTCTTTGTAGTGACTTTATCTGGTTCTGGAATTAGGATAATGCTGGCCTCATAAAAAGAGCTTGGAAGTGTTCCTTCCCCTTGGAGTTTTTTGGAATAGTTTGAGAAGGATAGGTGTTAGTTTTTCATCGAATGTTTGGTAAAACTCCCCTGTGAAACTTGTGTTTGCTGGGAGTTTTTTGGTTACTGCTTCTATTTCATCAGTTGTTATTGGCCTATTCAGGTTTTCTGATTCAGTTTTGGGAGACCGTATTTTCTAGGAATTTGTCTGTTTCATCCACATTGTCCAGCTTGTTGGCATATAGTTGTTCATAGTATTTTCTTAAAATCCTTTGTATTTCTGTGGTGTCAGTGGTTACTTCTCCGCTTTTGTTTCTAATCTTATTTATTTGGGTCCTTGTTTCTTATGAGTCTGACTAATGGCTCCTCAATCTTATTTATCCTTTCAAAGAACCAGCTCTTGGTTTCATTGATTTTTTTCTTTTTTTGTATTTTTTTTTTTAGTCTGTCAGTTATTTCTGCTCTAATCTTTATTATTTCCTTCCTTCTACTTGGCTTTTCTTGTTCTCTTTCTGGTTCTTTAAGTTGTAGGGTTAAATAGTTTATCGTTAATTTTTGTTGTTTTTTGAAGTAAGCCTCTAGTGCTATGAACTTCCCTCTCAGGACTGCTCTTGCTATGTCCAAGATTTTGGGTTGTTGTGTGTTCATTTTCATTTCTTTCAAGGAAGGTTTTTTATTTCTTTCTTGATCTCATTGGAAACCCATTCATTGTTTAATAACATGCTATTTAGCCTCCATGTGTTTGAATGTTTTGGGGTGTTTTTACTGTAGTTGAGTTCTAATTTCATTCCACTGTGATCTGAGAAGATGCTTGATATGATTTCAGTCTTCTTGAACTAGAGACTTGTTTTGTGTCCTAACATGTGGTCTATCTTTGAGAATGACCCATGTGCACTTGAGAAGAATGTATAGTTTGCAGCTTTGGGTGAAATGTTCTATAAATGTCACTTAACTCCACTGTATGTAATTAGGTGCTCCTACATTGGGTACATATATATTTCCCAGAGTTATAACTTCTTGTTGGATTGATCCCTTTAGTACTATGTATTGACCTTTGTTGTCTCTTATGATAGCCTTCATTTTGAAGTCTATTTTGTCAGGTATGAGTATTGGTACCCCAGCTTTTATTTCTTTTCCATTTGCATGGAACATTTTTTCCATCCCTTCACTCTCATTCTGTGAGTCTTTTGTTCTGAGATGGATCTCTTGAGTAGAGCATATAGTTGGGTCATGTTTTTGTATCCATTCAGCTACCCTGTCTTAATATATATTTTTTTTAATTAATTTCAGAGAGGAAGGGAGAGAGAGAGAAATATCAATGATGAGAGAGAATCATTGATCGCTCCTGCATACCCCCCACTGGGGATCGAGCCCACAACCCAGGCATGTGCCCTTGCCTGGAATCAAACCTGGGACCCTTCAGCCCACAGGCCAACACTCTATCCACTGAGCCAAACTGGCTAGGGTAACCCTATGTCTTTTGATTGCAGCATTTTTTTAACTGAAAATCTTTATTGTTTAAAGTATTACACGAGTCTCCTTTTCCCCCATTGACCTTTCCCCGGCCGCTCCCAGCCCCCAGCTCATGAACCACAACCTCTGGGCTTGGGCACACGAAGGCTGAATTGTTAGCATGTACCCCAAGGACTTCTCGTTGCTGACAGTGGTGTGCTTTCGCATTAGCACACCATGGGCCCCGCAGGTCCCTCGGCCGGGAATGGCCTTCCGGTAGTCTTTCCAGACCTCAGCCTCTGTGACCACTCTTCTCTATACTCACTGTCACCATTATCCCTCAAGTTACAGAAACCCCACCTCCTGACTGATTTAAATAGGAAGCTGATTTGCCATTTATGTTTCTATCTCTCTCCCTCTCCCTTCCTCTCTGAGATCAATAAAAACATATTTAAAAAAAAAGAAAGAAAGGGAGCCTGGCTGGAGTAATACCGTCCACGGCTCAGATTCTGCCACGTCAGCTGCGTGGCCGGGGGTGGTGTTTACGTTCTGTGAGCCTCGGTTTACTTCTCTGGAGATGAAGCTAGTGACTCTGGCCCCTGTGGTCACTAGGACCATAAAGTGAAGCCATGCATAGAGCATCTCTGTGCACACAGAGCAGAGATAAGAGTCCATAGTTTTCATTTGCTGTTTTCACTTTATCTGTCACAAATGTTGTCCATATTGATAGATCTGTATTTGCATAATTTTGCTTAAAAATGTTTGATTGGCCCTAACCGGTTTGGCTCAGTGGATAGAGCGTCGGCCTGCGGACTGAAGGATCCCAGGTTCGATTCCGGTCAAGGGCATGTACCTGGGTTGTGGGCACATCCCCAGTAGGAGATGTGCAGGAGGCAGCTGATCGATGTTTCTCTCTCATCGATGTTTCTAACTCTATATCCCTCTCCCTTCCTCTCTGTGGAAAACCAATAAATTATTTTTAAAAAATGTTTGATTGATTTAGGGAGGGGATAGGAGAGGGAGAGAGAGAAACATTGATCAGCTGACTCCTGCACACCCCCTACTGGGGATTGAGCCCCCCAGCTGGGCAGGCACCCTGACTGGGAATCGAGCCCGTGACCTCTCAGTGCATGGGACGGTGCTCAACCAACTGAGCCGCACTGGCCAGGGCTGTGTCCGCATCGTTCGAGTGGCCATCTAATGGAACTGCTGGCTGGTCTTCAGCTCGCCCGTGAGCGGCCTCGCGGGTGCTCCCTGGCTGGGCCGGTGGCCGCCGCGCACACCTGCTCCGCTCCTCACCGGTGCCTCTGCCCGCAGGTGTGAATGGCTTGCGGATGCTGGGGATTCTGCACGACGCGGTCGTGTTCCTGACCGAGCAGCTGTCGGGCGCCAAGCACTGTAGGAATTACAAGTTCCGTTTCCACAAACCGGAGGAGGCCAATGAGCCGCCCCTGAACCCTCACGGCTCAGCCCGGGCCGAGGTGCACCTGAGGCAAGTCCCGTCCTTTTCTGGAAGCAGTTTGGGGTCCGAGTTTATTACCTGACGATGTAATTATTTTCCCACATAACCAGGAGATGTTCAGTGTTCGCGTCTTCTATTGCTTCGATTGAGTTATTTCTCTAAATGTATTCTAATCCCTTGGCTCCAGGAAGTCTGCGTTTGACATGTTTAACTTCCTGGCTTCCAAGCACCGGCAGCCGCCTGAGTACAACCCCAACGACGAGGAGGAGGAGGAGGTGCAGCTGAAGTCGGCCCGGTGAGTCTGGGAGGGCGGGCGCTGGCAAACTCTGCCTCCCTCTGCTGGCTCCTCGCTGCGTGGCCTGACCAGACTCCCGGGAGCACGCAGAGGACTGAGGTCATGTGGTGAAGTGGCAGGAGCCGCTGCAGGGACAGCGTGTTAGCGGAGAAAGGAAGTAACTCTCGGGTGTCCGTTTTCTTTGCTTCGGCCGTAGTGCACTCTGCCAGCTCTGGCTGCACACGGGAGTCACCCTGGTCAGAAAACACTATAGGTTTTAGCCCGAGCCCATCTGGCTCAGTGGCTGGAGCGCCAGCCTGGAGACTGAAGGGTCTCGGGTTCAATTCCAGTCAAGGGCACATACCTTGGTTGCAGGCTCCTCCCAGCCGGGGCCCTAGTCGGAGGGGAGAGGGGGCGTGCAGGAGGCAACCAATCGATGTGTTTCTCACACAGCGATATTTCTCTGTCCTTTCTCTATTCCACTCTCTCTAAAATCAATTGGAAAATATCCTCAGGTGAGGATTAAAAAAAAGAAAGTATTTAAAAGAGTCCTAATTTTATAAGGTACTTGTTTGCTTGGCACTGAGCAAAGAACACTGAGTCCTCTTCTCCAGGACCCTTCAGTCTAAGACTCAGAACTGAGTGGAGTTCATTATTACATCCTTGTCTCCTTAGGAGGGCGACTAGCATGGACCTGCCCATGCCCATGCGCTTCCGGCACTTGAAGAAGACGTCTAAAGAGGCTGTTGGTGTCTACAGGTATGACAGATTCTAGAGAGCCTGCTAGGAAACTAGTGATGTTTTCCAAAATCGGAACGGCCCCACTGCTGGAGCGCGTGCCCCCCTCGGAAAGCTGGGTTTGTAGGTAACAGCCATTGAACCTGAGCCCTGGGTCCTGCAGTTGTTACACTGAACAATGCATTTAACCCAGCAAAGCTTCCCATTGCTGCTGCGTCAGTGGCTGTATGCAGAATGGAGAGCACTTTTGTCCTTGGCCATCTCAGAAAGTTCCTGCCCTCAGATCAGGTGGGGCCAGGTTCTTTTTTCCCCAAGTGTCGGTCCCTCTTAGGGGACTAACAGGGGATGTTACTCATTTGTTCATGTGTTCATACAATTAACCTTATTGCAGGACGTGTGGCTGATCTTGTCCATCTTCCTGTCCTAGGTCTCCCATCCATGGCCGGGGTCTCTTTTGTAAGAGAAACATCGATGCGGGTGAGATGGTGATCGAGTACGCTGGCAATGTCATCCGCTCCATCCAGACTGACAAGAGAGAGAAGTACTATGACAGCAAGGTGCGTCTCACACTCTCTCTCCTGTTCCTTCGTTTTGTTATAGAAAGTGACCACCAACTATAACTATCTCTAGATCAAAGAAAAAATAGTATTCCCCGGGCCGATGTGGCTCAGTTGGTCGGCATCATCCCCTGCACGGAAAGGTTGCGGGCTCGATCCCTGGTTGGGGGCATGCAGGAGGCAGCCCATCGATGTGCTTTCACATCAATGTTTCTCTCTCCCTCTCCCTTCTTCTCTTTCAAAAGATCAATTTTTTAAAAATAGTACTTTATTGATTCAAAGACACTTTTTTTTCAACATTTCTATATCCTCTGAAATTTGTGGTGGGACCAGTAAAAGTTCACAATCTACTCTAAGGATTAGTGTACAAAATACTTGTTGAAGGTTTGTCTGAATGGCTCTCGGAGTCAAAACCACATGGCAACACAATGCTCAGGTTTCTCTTTCCTGTTGGCTGGAACATCAAAAAGAAAAGAAAAAAAGAAACCAGTAATCTAGTGTCTATAACCTAGGAATTCATCATGGAAGTATCTTGAGAGATGGGAGGAATCTGGAAATTATACCAGAAGAAATGTTCAGCAGCAGCAACTATAAGTCACATTAGGAAAAGGTTGGGCTCTGGCCAGTTTGGCTCCGTGGATAGAGTATCAGCCCCCAGATGGAAGGTCTCCGGTTAGATCCCAGTCAAGGGCACACACCTTGGTTGCAGGCTCGATCCCCGGCCCTGGGCGGGGCAAGTGTGGAAGGCAACCAGTTGATGTATTTCTCTTACGTCAGTGTTTCTCTCTTTGTTTCTCCCCTTCCCTTCCATTCTCCCTAAAAAGCAATGGAAAAATATCCTCGGTGAGGGTTAACAAAAATTTTTTTAAAAACACATATTTCTCAGTTAAAAGAAAGAAAGAAAAAGGTTGGGAGATGCTCTCAAATCTGAGCTGTACTAAACCGATGCTCGCCTTCGCGTGCAGGGCATCGGCTGCTACATGTTCCGCATCGATGACTCCGAGGTGGTGGACGCCACCATGCATGGCAACGCTGCCCGCTTCATCAACCACTCATGCGAGCCCAACTGCTACTCCCGGGTCATCAACATCGATGGACAGAAGCACATCGTCATCTTTGCGATGCGCAAGATCTACCGCGGGGAGGAGCTCACCTACGACTACAAGTTTCCCATCGAGGACGCCAGCAACAAGCTGCCCTGCAACTGTGGCGCCAAGAAATGCCGGAAGTTCCTCAACTGAAGCTGCTCCTCCCCCCAGTGCCGGGACCGGGGCCACCTTCGCCAGAGCCGGGAGTTGGGGCCTGAGGGGCCTCCCAGGTGGCTGAGCCCTGTGTCCTGTATTCACATTAGACATGTGATCAGAGTCCTGGGGAGAGAGGAGGTCTCAGAGAAGATCCGGGACCTGCCTTCTGCCGGGGCCCCCTGTTGTGTGCTGTTCAGAAATGGGGAGAGGGGTCCCTAGTACACTTGCCTGGAAGGAGCTCTGGGTTCATTGCGTTGGGAGGTTGGGCCTGAGCCTCTCCTCAGAGAGAAGTGGCCGTCCTCTCTGTGGCCCTTTCCCACGCCCTTCAGCCAGGGGCCAGGCAGAGCCCTGGGTGGGGGTGGTTTGGTCCCTGATCGCTTGCCGGCGGGCCCAGCTGGAGCCGTCGGGGAACAAACAGGAGGCGGGTGGTTTCCCTGCCTTCCCAGGGAGCACTCGCTTCTGGTTGGGAAAGGGGATTCTGTGTTGGGGTTGTGCCAATTAATTAGCAAACACCGAGCCTGTGGCTGTAAGCGGGAGTCCGTCCCCATGAGCCTTATCTCAGCCAGTTTCCCTCCTTGACCGCAGGAGCGGCTTCCTCCTCACTCCTCTTCACTCCACTTCCCTCGTTTTCCCTGCTCGGCCTCCACTGCTTTCCCATTCTCTCTGGGTGGAGGAGACCGAGACTCCTGCTCAAGGACACTCCCTGTGGGCATACTGTGCGCCTCCGAATGTCCCCTGAGCCTGGAGGCACTCCCAGTGGGAGGTGGACAGGAGGCCTTGGCCAGAACCAGACAGAATGAGGCGTTTTCTCAAAACTCCGCTGAGAGTTTTAGAGAAACGTCCGGAGCCTGATATTTGAGACGAGGGAAAGGTTGTTTCAATAGTTGAGTCATGCAGCAACCAGAGCATCGGGCCAGGGTGCCTCTGGGCCCCATCCCTAGGCCACGGTGACCATTTTCCCTTCATGACGACATAGGAAGACTTGATCTTTAAAGGGTCCATGTCCAGTTGAAGGCACAACACTAATCAGATTTCAAGGCCCAAACCTTGGGGACTGAGCACCTTGCATTGAGGGGACTGCCACCTATGCAAACTCCACGGCTAAGTGAGTTCATGACACTACTGCCCTGCGCCCTCCCATGTGGCCACCCGGACCCTCTGCTTCCTCCCTCCCCGAGACAGTGTCCCGACCTATTAAATTAAGTCATCAGATTTTACTCTGTTCTGTTTACAGTTTACTATTTAAGGTTTTATAAATGTAAATATATTTTGTATATTTTTCTATGAGAAGCACTTCATAGGGAGAAGCACTTATGACAAGGCTATTTTTTAAACCGCGGTATTATCCTAATTTAAAAGATCGGTTTTAAATAAGTTTTTATTTTCATAGGATGAAGTTAAAGAAACTATTCAGCTGTACATGCAAAGTCTGGTTTTTCCTGCCCAGCTCCCCCTGGAAGTTTCTGTTGTTTCATGTGTAGTTTGTTTGTGCCCTGTTGACATAAACGTTTCCTGGGTTTGCTCTTCGACAATAAAAGGAAGGTCACCCAGCCCCTTGGGGCCGCTCCTCTTCTTTCCCCGCACTGGCCCCGAGCGGTGACCGTGCTCATCTCCTTTCCCCCTTCACAGCGACCGAGCGGTTGGCACCTGACATCCCCATCACCCTCGGCCTCAGATCACCTCGTTCCCCCCTTGCCCACTGAGCCCTCATTCCTGCAGAGACCCCACTGAAGCTGAAGCAGTCTGACCGCTCCCCAGGGAGCAGATCTGTTTCTCCGCCTCGGTCAGAGCGTGTAGTCCCTTCCCCCGGAGCCCCTCCCTGGGAAGTCCAGCCAAGCAATACTCCGCCAGCTCTGCCCCGGCTCACGGCTCTGCTGTGCCTTCGCCCTGGGCTCCTGGGCTCCCGTGCCCTTAAGAACTTCGTGTGGTGGCTCTGCTGAAAGATGCCGTTCCCCTGCCTGCGGGGCCCAGCACTGTGGCCAGGGTGCAGAGACCGCCCTGGGACGTGGAGAAGGCACTCCACCCAGACCTCCCTTCCTTCCTCTTGCCCGTGAACAAGACATGGTGGCCCGAGGGTTCACTACTGTCTGGTTTCCTTTATTATTGCACTGTGTGAGGTTTTTGTAAATCCTTTATTACTTTTTTAATTTTTTTTTAGAAAAAAACCTTAAGCTGCATTTGTTACTGGAATGATTAATGCACTGATGGGTCACGACTTCACCAAAGGCCAGTCTGGGGTGGGGGAGACTCAGCTGAGCAGACCCAGTTACTGCTCTGCTAGGCCGAGTACTGTGAGCCCCTTCTCTCCCCCAAACCTGCGTCTCCTCCTGTGGCTGCAGGTGGTCTGCCTGGCCTTTCCCTCCCTGGTTATAACCACGGAAACGAGAAGTCCCTCCCACAGCTCAGCCTTGAGTTCATTGCCAAACTTCAGCCAACCTGCCAGGGACTTGGGGAGTGAGCTAAGCAGGCAGAAGATGGGATAGCTGCCTCCAAAACACCCAAATTTGTTTTGAAAGTGAGCTAAGGAGTCTCCTCACAGAAGTGCAGACAGGTACTGCGGTGGGTCACTCCTAAGTCTCCAAGGGGCACCCCACGTCCCTGAGGAGTGACAGGCTGCGACCTGGGTGGTTCTGTGAACACTGGCACCCGCCGGTTTAGCTGCTGTGGCCGCCTCTCCTGGTGGCAGAGATGGCTGTGTAACCAGAGAAGCTGCCGGCGCTGACCCTTGACCAGAACTCGGTCCCACCACCTTCAGCACAACCCCTCCTGGTTTTAGACCAGTAACGAGTTAGGGGCAGCCCTGGCAGCTGTATGCTCTGCCCAGGCTCCTTTGCCGCGATCCGGGCCCCACCCTGCTTGCCTGCAGATCCCCGGCCACGCGGTACCTGGATTTCACAAAACACAACAACACAACACAAAAAAATCTTTTAATGAATGTATCTTTCTAAAGGACTGACGTTCAATCAAATATCCGAAACTACTAAAGGTCCAAACCTTGTCAGATGATAACTTTTAAGTTTGATTTGGGGTATTTTAGGTTAAAAAATTTTTTTTCCTTTTTTTTTTTTTTTTTTTTTTTTAAGGAAAAGCGGGTCATTGCAAAGGGCTGGGTGTGATTTTGTTTCGTCTCCATTTTAAAGCAATACAAGGTGATTGAGCAGATGGTTTTATGCCGAATCACGAACACCAGTCAAGACTCACTCTCTAAACTTGCAACTTTTGTGTTTTGGTTTTCAAATAAGTATAAATATGATATATATAGGAATAATATAGTAATGCACCGTGTAACAAAGCCTCGTGCAGTCCATGGCTTTCATTCTCTTAACACTATAGGTAGGGGTGTGTTCCAGTTGCTAGTGGCGGCGGGAAAAGCCGCTGGCCCTTCTGATGCTCGGGAACGGGGAGGCCCGGACACGGGGGAGGCAGACAGCGGTCCCAGCGGTCAGCGACGCAGAAGGTGCCACCTGGATGCTTTTCTGCCAGTGGATGTTGCCAGGCAGTATCTGTACTCCTTGTTTTTCTATTTTTGGTTATGAATGTTGGGGTTACCACCTGCATTTAGGGGAAAATTGTGTTCTGTGCTTTCCTGGTATCTTGCTCCCAGGTACTCTAGTTCTGTCTTTCAACCAAGAAAATAGACTCGTGGTGTTTCTTTCATTGAACTTTTAACAGTCTCTTTAGTAAATACAGGTAGTTGAATAATTGTTTCAAAAGCTCAACAGATGACAAGCTTCTTTTCTAAAAATGACATTTCTTGATACCTTTATCATGTATAACAGATCTTTCGGTTGTTTTTTTTCTTTCCTTGTGTTCTTCCAAGCTTCTGGTTAGAGAAAAAAGGAAAAAAAAAAAGGGAAAAAAAAAAGTGTCTAAAGTCCATCAGTGTTAACTCCCTGTGACAGGGATGAAGGAAAATAACTTTAATAGTTCAAAAAATAATAATGCTGAAAGCTCTCTACGAAAGACTGAATGTAAAAGTAAAAAGTGTACATAGTTGTAAAAAAAAAAAGGAGTTTTTAAACATGTTTATTTTCTATGCACTTTTTTTTATTTAAGTGATAGTTTAATTAATAAACATGTCAAGTTTATTGCTGCACGTGGTGGACCTTTCTTTTGGCTTCGTTGGGCGGAGGGTTGGGGGAGGGGAACAGGATGCCTGCCACAGTCCTCTGCCTTCCACACCGGCTCTCTTCACAGCATTTCCTTTCCTTATCAATGATGTCTACTCAGCACCTAATTCTGGACTTGAAGAAAGGCTCAAGAGGACAAAGAAATAGTTCCTTTACTGCCTGCATACCCTCCCTGACCCATGGGTAGTCAAGCCCTGGCTTCTGTTGGTTTCCTCCTGATCTGAATAGAATAAAAGCACGCAAAAGAGAACCTGGACAGCACGGCTCTCTCCCCTCCACCTTAAGCCTGAAAATGTATTTACTGTTTCTCCTGGGACGGGAATGCTGGTGGGGAGGTGGTTGAGAAATAGCTGTGAATGTTCCGCCAAGCCAGGGTCACGAGGCCCAGGGCCAAAGGAGCCCAGGGCCAAAGGACGTCCAGTTTACCCTGTAACCAAAAGAACAGGACACTCCTCTTCATGGGGATGGTCCTCAAACAACCTCCCTCAGATCCACTGGCTGCAAAGCTCAGCCCCACCCACCGCTTCTCCCTCCCTCCTCTCATCCTGAGTCACCTTTGTGGAGTTTTGGAGTTGAGCACCATGGGGACGCTAAACGATCAGGCAGTTTTGCAGGCCATCTTCAACCCCGACACCCCATTTGGAGACGTTGTTGGGTTGGACCTGGGAGAGGAAGCTGAGGAAGAAGATGAAGGTGAGTATTTGACCTTGGAGGATAGCTCTCTACATTGGCTGGTCTGCAGGCCTTCCTGGGGAGGCCAAGGTAGGTGATCTTACAAAACCCCATGTTTGCTCCAGACCCTTGGGCAATGATTGAAATTGGCCTTAAAGATCGGAGAATCCCTAGAACACTGATGGGGGGGTTGACAAGAGTCACTGCCAAGAGGAAAGGGCCAGGGCCTGTCTCAGTCCTTCAGCCCTCACACCTCTGAATGTACCTCACCACTCAATTCTCCCCATGATCCAAGCTTCACTGTGTTGGGGTGTAGGAGGGTGCTACTAAACTCATATCACTGTCGTAACAGAATATATCACCACAAAGACCGGAAGAGGGCAGGGCAGGGCTCTGTTGCATGGTTCCAAGCTAAGCGAGCATTCAGTGCCGCGTGCCATTACAAGCAGCTCTGAGCCGATCCTCCCACAGTGCACTCTGGCTTTCCATCGGTCCCCAGTGAGGACTGGGGTCCCCATCGAGGTTTTTATGTCCTTGTTTCTAAAGGGGTGACGCCGAAGCCTTACTGAGACTTCAGACTGAAAAGCTGGGGATATGTGGGGAGGGATTTTCGTGACCTGGGGGTGTCACGGAGGCCTCAGTGTTGGAGGCAGTGCAGTCGAGCAAAACGGGGGCACACTCAGGAAAGGACCTGGGCTCAACTCCAAGCTGTGCAACTCACAGGCTGTGTGGCCTGGAGCAAGACTTTTTAGCTGCAGGCTAAGGAGCTTGAGCTTCATTCCCTTCATTCCCAGGTTCCTTTGGGGCTTAGCCTTGGGTGACCTCGGCTCCCCCGTCCCAAATACCGCATCTCACTCCAGCTGTGACCACCCCTCAGCCCAGGCAGTTCTGGCTCACGTGTCCAGAGCCTGAGGTGGCTTTTGCTTCTTGCTCCCAACTGCACACCTGCCCCCTCCTGGCTCCCTCCCTGGCACAGGTGGAGTTTTCCCGCAAGCACAGCTGGAGCAGTCCAAGGCCCTGGAGCTGCAGGGGGTGACCGCAGCAGAGGCTGGCGACCTCAGCACAGCGCTGGAGAGGTTTGGCCAAGCCATCAACCTGCTGCCCGAGAGGGCGTCAGCCTACAACAACCGAGCCCAGGCCCGGCGGCTGCAGGGAGACGTGGCAGGTGAGGGGAGGTGCCCTGGAGCCTCTACAGAAGGGGCCCGGCCATGCACAGACCTGAGATGAAGTGGTTGTAGGGTTGGGGTTTGGGGGTGGGGAGTCATTCAACCCCTCTGGAATCTGCATTCTGACCTATAAGAGAGATATTATGGTCCCTGCTAACCTCTTGGACTATTGTGAAAGTCAGATTAGATTGCATTCCATTTATTTATTTAACATTTCATGAGAATCTACTATTGTAATAATGGGCCAGGTGCTGAGGACACAAAGATAAAAGATACAGCAACTACTATGTGCCAGCCACTAAGCACTTTACATGTAAGCTGTAGTAACTAATTTAATTCTCACAACCCTGGAAGGTATGTAGTCTTACCTTCGTTTTACAGATGAAGACACTGAAGCATGGAGGTCAGGTAGCATGCTGCTCTCATACAGCTGAGACGTAGCAGAACTGGGATTGGAACCAGGTGTCAGGGCTCCAGAGTGATACTGCTTCTCAAGCTTGCAGACCAGGCGCCAGGACAGACATGATTGCAATACCATAACAGGTTGAGAAGCATCTGCTCCTGATGAGTGGGTTTTGAAGGATGAGTAGGAGTTCGCTGGATGGAGGGGAGGAAGTGGAGAAGGCACAGCCTGTAGAAGTCCAGAAAGGCATGAAAGAAAAGTACAGGGAATGTCATACCTCCAAGCTGACTGGACCAGGGAGTGGTGGAAGGATGGGGCAGGGCCTGGAAGGAAACAGGAATCACTAAAGGATTTTAACTGGGAGTGACTGGATCAGACTTGTGGCATTTAGGTCATTCTAGCCAGAGTGGGGACAGTGGGACAAAAGGGGCCATGCTAGGAACCAGAGCGCAGGCCGACCAGTGGTGAGCCACAGAAGTCTAGTAGACTGCTAAGACTCCTGGTGGTGGGCGTGCTCCTGGGACCAGTACTGCCAGGCTGGGGGTCTGGACTCCGTTATGGGAACAGCGAAGAACCTCGAGGGTCCCTCCTCCAGGCTGGTCTGTCACCTGGCCCGGGCAGGGCAGGGTCCGGCAGGGCTGTAAAGGTCCTGGAGACAGCCTACTGACCCAAACCCGAGAGGACCAGAGGCCATTCGCCTGGAGGAGGCCTTCCATTCCTCCAGACCAGCTCCTCTGAGGGAAACCGAGAAACGCTGCCATCAGGGAGCTGCTCAAAGGCCCAGGCCCAGAGCCCCCGCTGGGTTCCGGGGACCAAAACAGCCAGAAGGCAGCTCAGCCTTGCTAGGACGGGGAGCTCCCCAACCATCCTGGCGGGGTCTCTCGACTAGACTATAGAGAACAAGAGTGAAATGAGAACGCAGAAATGCAGCTCGGTGGGCCCTACAGCAGATGCCAGCGGGCTCCCCGAGGTTCACATGCCCAGTATTCTATGAGGACAATAAAAATAAAAATGCGGCAGGCCAGCTCTGGCTCCAAGACCCCTTCAAAAAAAAATTAGATACAAAATAGTGAAGACGCTGGAAATAAAGAACGAGGAAAGGCGGTCAGTGGAGAAACGCTGTTTTAAAAATCACACAATGGAGCCCCGGCCGGTGTAGCTGAGCCAGCGGGGCATCGCGCCGTGCACGGGAAGGCACACGCCTAGGCTGCGGCTCCACCCCTGCAGGGGCCGCAGGAGGCAGCCTTTTAGAAAAGGCAGTAAGGAAGGAGAACCCTTCCTCATTGTCAAAAAAGTCACACCACGGGAAAGAGGAGCGAAAAGCCTTCAAAGGGAAAAAGAAAGAGAAATGGACTTGCCTGTGTTTGTAAGAAACTGTAACTATTTGGGGCTCTGGGACTCAGTCACCGGCCCGTGGTAGCTGGGGAACCACGTCCACGTGGAAGACTCAGGCCAGCCACGGGCCAGACTCATGAACACGGGGACTTCCGGAAGCCCCAGCTGTGCGGGTGTTGGGTGTGGGGGGCGAGGGCTCTTCCCACCACTGGCCGCGGCCAGGGAGCCCAGGCGAGTCTCCGGCTCCCGGGTCCGCCCATCTGTGCGATGCAATAGCGGCCACCGCCGCCCGGCCCGCGCCCAGGCCCAGGCCCAGGCCCAGGCCTGAGCGCGGGCTGTCCTCGCTGTCCGCAGGGGCCCTGGAGGACCTGGAGCGCGCCGTGGCGCTGAGCGGCGGCCGGGGCCGCGCCGCCCGCCAGAGCTTCGTGCAGCGCGGGCTGCTGGCGCGGCTGCAGGGCCGGGACGACGACGCCCGCCGGGACTTCGAGCGGGCGGCGCGACTGGGCAGCCCCTTCGCGCGGCGCCAGCTGGTGCTGTTGAACCCGTATGCCGCGCTGTGCAACCGCATGCTGGCCGACGTGATGGGGCAGCTGCGCGGGGAGCGCACCCCGCGCTGAGCCCCGCGGGCGGAAGGGCGCCCGAACCAATAAAGTTGCGGGCTCGACAGCTCCCGCTCGTTTCTGCCCTCTGCGGGGGCGCCTGCCCAGAAGTGAA